GAGGCTGTCTGGGAAGAAAAACCACTTCCTGGTGAGTGATCGGGGAGGCTTCTTGGAGGAGGCAGCTTTGATCTGGGCCTGTTTGCCCTTCAGCCATAGTGGGCTGGGCACCCTCAGTGGTAAGGAGAGCACCAATAAAGGTGCAGAGGTCAGGCTTCTGCACAGCAGAAGAAAGTCAACAAAATGAAACAGCAACCTATCAAAGGAGAGAAAACATCTGCACACCATCTATCTGATAACCTAACTGACAACCAAAATATATAAGGAATTCATATAACTCAACTCAAAAAAAAACAACAACCAAAAAACACATGCACAAAGTATCTGATTTAAAAATGGGCGGAAGTGGGGCGCCTGGCTGGCTCAGTTGGTGGAGCATGCCTCTCTTGATCTCGGAGTCATGAGTTCAGGTCCCACATTGGGTGCAGAGATTACTTAAAAATAAAGTCTTTAAAAAAATGGACAGAAGAACTGAATAGACATTTTTCTAAAGAAGACGTATAAATGGCCAACAGGTACAGGAAAAGATGCTCAACCTCACTATAAGTGAAATGCAAATTAAAATCGCACGAGATATCACCTCACACCTGTCAGGATGGCTAGTATCACGAAGACAAGAGATAGCAAGTGTTGGCGAGGCTGAGGAGAAAAGGAACCCTTACATACAGTTGGAAGATTGGAAAGCTTGTGGTCCCCATGGAGGTAGGCAGGCCTTGGAGGGCAGATGTGGGGGAGGTAGCGGGAGACGTTGGAACCAGGTCAGGGATGGCCTTGAAGACCACGCTAGGGTGCCTAGACTTTGTTTGTTGGGCCATGGGGAGCCACTGAAGGTGTCTGAGCTGAAGAGAGTCAAGATCATGGTATGCTTCAGGATGATCAATCACAAAGAAGAGAAACTCTCAGGCATGGAAGCTTCCACCTTGTCCTTTCAGAAGGGGAACAAGCACCCTTGAGAATTCTGTGATTTTCCAGAAGCTCTGTTACTTCCCCATGTTTGTGACTTTTCTAGTTCCTTGCAGTGATTACCATGAAACCCCAAACCAGAAAGAGGCTATGGAGCTGCCCCACGCCTGTCAGGCAGAGAAGAACCCTAAGAGGGTGTGAGGAGCTGTTGGAGAGGGCAGGCAAGATACCACCGGGGGCCCAGAGAGAAGGGCCAGGGCTAAGCCAGTGGGAGGAAGTCCCAGGGAGACAGTCTGGCTTCTGTGGTATCCCTAAGTCGCTGCTGGATCCGGAGAAGAGCCAGGCCCCTGCCCAGGCTGGGAGCCCTTCATCAGGCCGTGGAGGCAGCCGTAGCAGATTTTATTCTGAGCTGTGGGCCTCTGTCATAGCCCAGAGAAGCCCCGGGACCCCACTCCAAGAAGAGCCCTCCCCCCTCCCCCAGGGTTCCAGGAGCCACACCCTGAGTGGCAGCCAGCAGGCTGATGCCAGGGCCCAGTCTGCTGCTCCCTCCAAGTCTGGGAAATGGCCTTAGAAACTCCCTGAAGAAGGCGGTAGAAGGACACCAGACTGGCAGGCAAGAACCTGCTATGTGTGAGCTTGGGCCAGCACTCGATGGCGCTGAGCCTCAGCTTCCTCCTCGGGAACTGAGCCCTTGGCTTCTCTCCTAGGCTGATTGTGAGCATCACATGGGACCGCTGTCAGGAACAGCAAGGGACTCGGGCAGGGCCCAGGTAATCAGGACGAGCTGGGTTTCCCAACAAGTGGGTGCCCTCTGGATGTGGGCTGGGGGCCAGCCCCCGGGAGCCCTGAATATCAGCGTCACAGGCAAGTTCCTGCCTTGGCGGGTCTTCTCAGCCCTCTGGTCACTCCAGGGAGAAAGTCTCCACTCGGCGCCCTCCGTCTTTAACTCTGTCCTACCCCTTGTTTGTGGCTTTTCTCTACAAACACACGGGGCTCCAGACTTCTTTCAGGAGGTCAGAGTACCTGGCCAGAATTAAATAATGTTGTTTTCATCACTTTTCTGTTCGATTTTCTTAGCTTCTCGGAAGCCTTATGATTTTGCGTATTTTAAAGGCAACTTTTAGACTCCAGTAACATTTTAAATGTTTATTCTATTTACTAAGCAGTTCTGTGTCTAGGAATTTAACCTATGGACACATATACTTACAAAAATGTACAAATACAAATATACTTTACGGGGGCACCTGGGTTACATGTCCGACTTTTAATCTCAGCTCAGGTCTTGTTCTCAGGTCATGAGTTCAAGCCTAGCGTGGAGCCTACTTTAAAAATAAATAAATAAATAAACAAACAAATTTTATGAACAGTGGTCATTCCAGCATAACTGAGAACTTGGAGGACTGGTCAAATAATTTATGGCACAGCTATACTTTAAATTATGTGCAGTTCTCATAATGAACACATTACTATCTACACGTACCACTGACCTGTGAGTGTGCCCGTGATGTGTTCTTAAGAAAAAACAAAAGTTGCAAAATGGTAGTGGTAGTTTTATTTAAAATTGTAATTTACGCAGATAGGTACAGATATAAAACACAAGTATTAGTATAGATGTAAGGCGGGGGAAGCCCCAGAAGGATATAACTAAACTGTTAATAGTGAGAGGTGAATTTTCCATAAGATAAATTCTTACACACAGAGTTGCCGAATGAAGAAAAGACACATTTACTATGTTACTGGAGTCTAAAATACAAAATACACAAAGAAAAGACTTTCTATGTTATATATTTTGAGAATGGATTTTTTTAATACAGGTGTATGTTACATAAATACTTTTATAAAAGTAATTTTTAATTATTATGAAGTTGACCAGACAAATGAAAGAGGCCTTTAGACCGTGTGCCCTATAGCACAGAGGAAGGGCATCAGTGGGGGTTGTGAGCTGTGCATCAGCTGAAGGTTAGGGTCCCACGAGCAATTACTCCTTCCAGTCTTTCCCTCTTTTTCCAGGAACAAGGCCCTTGGCTGTGAATAGGGCAGCGGAAGAATTGTTCAGTCCAAGTGGCTCATCCGTCTGGAAGGAAAATTCCAGCTCACCCGTTCCCTTGGGCCCGCCTGAGTGGCAAGGCTGGGAGGAAGGAGCCAGCAGAGGTGACCTGTGGTTCGCCGCCCCCCGCCCCCCGCCCCCCGGCCGACTCCTGCACGCCCTCCGCTAGCCCTCAGGTTCACTTAGCTCTTTCCTCTTACCCAATCCTTCCCTACTCTGTCTGGGCACCACACAGGTCTGGAGTCTGGAGACAGGGGTTGGGACCCAGGCTTCCCCCGTCCCCAGCTCTGCAACCTTGGCTGAGCACTTTACCTCCCTGAGCGCTGACTTGGGAGTCAGCCGGGATCCTGTCCCTGCTGCCCTGACCAGATGGCCTTGGGCAGGTCACTTCAAAACCTTCCTGAACTGGCTTCACGTGTAATACGGGGAAAGTAGCGGTCCCTGGTTCCTAGGGTTGGTGTGAGGATAAAATGAGAAAATGGGCCAGGACAGGCCTGGCACAGAGTAGCTGTTCAGTGCTCACCGGCTTTTCCTCATCCTTTCTCTCTCTGTGACATCATTAGCTCCATTTACTGCTGGGGAGATTGAGGCCTGATGTGGTGTAATCTAGCCAAGGGCCCCTAAGGAGCAGACCTGAAGTGGAGGGAGCCCAAGTCTCCTGACCTCCAGACAGAGGCTTGTCCCATGAGCAAAGATAATCCCCGTCTGGAATGTGGGTTGTTTACTCTCCTTCTGGGGGCAGATCCAGGGATTGGCTTATTCATCTTCTACCACAGCCAGGAAAGAGTAGGTCACAGGCTCCGGGTGCTCTCTGAAGCCAGGCCCCCCAGGAGGGTGGGCTTTGTGTGGCCAGGCCATGTAGCGGGTGGGGTTTCCCCTGGCATGGTTCGGCTGGCCCTGCGTTGGCGGCTGGGCCTGTGAGTCAGAGCTGCCCACGTCTGCCCGCTGGCAGCCACAGCCCAGGCCCCTGGCGGCAGTCCAGGGAGGCGTGTGGTTCCAAAGAGAGGTGCCTGTGCCCCAGAAGCTAACGGAGATGCCCCTTCCCCCCATCAGAGAGAGCAAGGGATGGCCAAGATCACACAGTGACGTATGATAGATCTTGGGCTGACAGCCGGTTCTACCTTGGGTGACCCCTGCCAAAAGGCCCAAGTGAGGACGTCAGGAAGCCATAGCCTGGGTCTAAGACCCTTGCACTCTGGCCCTTGCCCCCGTTGGCTCTGTTGCCCTGGCCCCATGGTCCGTCAGGCCTGGCCTGGGCTGTGGAGCCTATGGGCAGGATGGAGCCGGCCAGCAGGTACCAGGATGCCTGGCTCATGCCAGCCCCATTCCACTGAGCCGCTGCAGTCGCGAGGGGCCTGGGGCCTGCTGGGTCTGCACCCCGATGCCCGGCCTAGCTAGACTGCGCTCAGAGACACAGCTGGGCCCCGTTCCCTCCCTGGCCTCACCCTGGCCGCTCCCACCTCCCCTCCCCGCCCACCTTCCTCTCTCTCTTCCTCTTCCTTCTCTAGTTGCCCTCTCTCCTCGCTTCTTACTGCTCTCCGGCCCCCATGGGTGCTCTGTCTGTCCTGCTCCTACTTGAGACCCAGCCGCTACTCACCAGGGCCTGGAATCCGGGCTGGAGCGGATGCCTGTCACAAGCCACACCAGCCTCCCTCTGGCCCACGGGCAGAATGGAGGGGAGGGCAGGGGGTGTCCCAGCTTACCAGCCAAAGCCAAAGCACATGGTGGGGTGGGGGGTGCGCAGGAGGAGCTCAGGCTTCTCAACAGGAGCCTGTGAACGGTCCGGCCTGTCCCAGAGCCAGGCACCGCAGAGCCGGAAGGGCCTTTCCATTTCACACCTTGGGAAGCCAAAGCCCAAGGTCCAGGCCGTCCAGATGCTAGCAGTGGTGGAGGGAGTGTGCGAACCCCATTTTACAGATGGAACTGAGACTCCCAAGCTGAAGGACCCTGTGTGGGGACACTGTGGCTAGGGCTCAGCCCCATCTGCCCCACTCCACTCCTGCCACCTCCCAGGCACAGGGCCTAAACCCGCGAGAGACCACGAAGTCCATGAGTGAGAAGCACCAGGTTTAATATTAAAATCTTTCTCTTAAAAAAAAAAAAAGTACACAGATAGGAAAATTTGATGGCATATAAAATAGCACTTCTGCTGTATAAATGTGAGTTAATGTGAGTCCTAAAAATACTTGTAAACCTAGGTGATTACATCTTTGGTACCGTAGTGAGAACCTCCTCCCTCTCCTGGCCCGGCAGAGGGGGCTCGTGCCCACTTCCGGCTCTCCTCCTGCCAGGAGTCTTGGCCATGGCCCTCGCTCCCCTGGCACCCCCGCTGCTCACCTAGCCGGGGTGTGGTTGGCAGAGAGAGTGCAGCAAGCGGGCCTGGGCAGTGATGCCCTCAGGGACCAGGCAGCTACTGGGTGAGAAGGCAACCCCCAAAGTACCCACCTCTTGCACCCCTCTCAGGTTCCCTACAAAGGCTTCTTGTACTTTCTGGGGGCCCCCAGGAGCCCTCACTGTCCATGATGTCTGTGGCACAGACTTGGACAGCAGGTGCTAGAGAGCAGACTGCACAAGGGTGTCTGATCTGCCCCCTCTGCCTCCTTTGCTCAGGATGGCTCCAGAGGTCATTGGTGGGTCTGAGAGGGCCCCGTGGTCTTCCCATGGGGCAGCTGCTGGGGGCTTTCCAAGACACTGGCTGTCACTCCGAGTCAAGATCTGTGCAGCTGGCCTTCTGGGACTTGCTTGGGGGTCTGGGGAAGGGGCATAGTTCTGAATGCCCAGAGTGTGATGCATGGTCCGGAATCTCCCCAGACCCCAGCTGACCCCTAGGACGGAGGTTTGGAGTGTTTGGCTTTGCTTCATCTGGGCAAGTGTGCCACCCCCTGCAATGTTCGAGAACGTTAGTGCCGACAGGGCACCAGAAGTCAGCGAGTCCATCTTGCTCATTTTTCAACAGGGCAAACAGGCCTGGAGACGGTGCGGAATTCCTCCAAGGTCCCATATCAGGTCCAAAGTGCATCTTGATCCACACACGTGGACATTTCTCGCAGGCACATCCACACGCTCATCACAGATGTGGGGCCCGCCTGGCCCTGGAGACTCTGGTGGGTGGAGTAAGACCGGCGGTGATAAGGAAGAAGACCCCAGCACTTATGGGGCCAGGCAGACATGGACACGGGCACTTGTATGGGGAGGTGTGTCCCAAGTGCCTGGGACAGGGGCTGTGGGCCAGAGTGTCCTGGACTTGGCTCAGCCCCCAGCATGAAGCGTGGATGGCCCCAGACCAGCTCGGGCCTGGGAAAGTGGAGACTGGCATCAAGGAGAGGTGGCTTCTGGATGAACATCACTGTCCGAGGCCAGGCCCCTGCTCAGCCAGGAGCCAGGGATGCCAGGGTCCCTTCCCCAGCTCTTAGGTGGATGAAAGTGCGAGGAGAAAGCTACAGCTTCTTGAGGAGTAGCTGGCTGAACAGAAGAACATTAATTCATACCTCCTGAACCCCGAGAATCTCTCTAGGGATTCCGACCTCCCCACCTGTCAGCCGGGGAGACAGAAGCCCAGATTCTGCGTCACCGGGCCCTGCGCTCCCATCCTACAGATGGAGAAACTAAGTGTCCCGGGAGAACCCTGGCTCCCATCACAGGGCCTCCCCAGAGGCAGAGGGCTGGTCGTGACCCCTGCAGCAGCCCTAAGGCAGCCCCAGCGGCTGGGGTGCCACATGCCAGGGACAAAAGCTTTCTAGAAAGTGGCGGCTGATGGGAGGCCAGGCCAGGCCAGGAGGCGCTAGGTGCTGGGAGGTAGAGGGGGAGCTTCAGGTGGGGCAGGGTGGGGCCAGCCCCCTACAGGAAGCTGTCTTCTGCCTCAGCCCGATGCCCAGGGCAGCTCGAGTCCAGTGGTGGCTCCAGCTCCGGCTCCACCTGGGGTTCGGGCTCCTCTTGGGGCTCCAGGGGGCTGTCACAGGAGATGGTAGAGGACGTGTTCGCTTCGTTCAGGGTGGAGCTAGAAGGAGAAGGTGAGTGAGTGAGGGGCTGGCAGGGAGCCACGGTGAGATAGCAGCCATCAAGGGCTTTCTGAGTGTTCAAGCGTGCCCCCCGCGCCTCACACCCTCGAGTTCCTCTAAGCCCTGTAAAGACCACACAGGGCGGGCGTGGCCTCTCGGACCGGCGATGGCAGCGGCCTGCAGCTCAGTGAGACTTCCAGCAGCAGATCCAGCCGGCTCCGGAGCCCGTTTCTCACTTGTCAGCACCTCCGTGCCTGGCACTCCGGAAGGCGCTTGCCATCTCACGGAAGCCACCGACAAGCCCCACATGGATGGGTGTTACTGTTTTCATTTTAGACAGGACAAAACGGAGGCTCGGGGCGCGGGGGTGGCTTGTGTGAGGGCACCGGACAGGCCGGCGGTCCCCCCTCAAGCTGTCTGAGCTCTGAGCTGAACTCCTCCGCCCGCTGGCTACCTGGAGCCTGGCAACCTGTGCTCCTAAGGAAGGCGGAGGGGGCCTTCTAGTTCTCGGGGGTGCTCCCAGTGCCCGTGCGGAGACGGAGGCTCGCAGAGACGGGGCCTGGCCGGGCCTCACGGCAGCTGGGGCCACAGCTGGAGCTGGAACCCTGCCTGCGGCTGCTGCCACTCCACCACAGAGTGGATCTGGTTGGAGGGGGGGGCGTCTGGCCTCATGGAGGGGGGACGACTCTCCTTGCCAGCTGAGGGAAGGTCCTGTCTGAAGGTGAAGTCCAGGCAAAGGCTGGGCCTTCCTCCAACCCTCACCCACTGTAACTTCACCACATCCCAAAGGCAAAAAAAAAAAAGCACGAATCTCCTTCCCAGTCAGAATTCTGGCCCCAACTCCTGTGGGCACCAGGCCTCCTACGACCACGCCTGGCTCCCGGGGGCCCTGAGGACGTGATGCTGGAGAACAGAGCACAGGCCAGGGCTGGCGATGACCCCAGAGTAATACACAGGGGGCTGGGGATGCTGATTAGATTTCCTACTTCTCCTTAGGGCCTGGATAAGGCCTAGGGAGAGGAGCGGAGAGATGGCCTATGGGGGCCACATTCCAGGAAACAGCTCCCTTGCAAGTAAGTCCCAGTCTTTCTGTCTCTCACCAGCCTGCCCTTTCCCCCTGAGGTCATCAGAAGTCAAATGAGTTCAGTTCTCCCTTCTGCTCACTGGCAGGAATCAATACTCACCCCAGGTAACTGACTTCTAAGGCAAGCCTGGCGGCATGAAGACACAGACAGAAAGACACACACACACACATACACACTGCACACTATTGCCTTGGGCCTCAGGCCACAGTGACTACCTGGCAAGGCTGGGAGAACTCTCCAGTGGGCCCTCATCAGCAACTTCAGGTTTGGGGTCAGGCAGGGGGATGATATAGTCGTTGTCACCCTCGTTGGGCTGCACAGCCGTGTAGAGCACAGAGCTGGTGTCCAGGGGGGATCGGAGGCCATGGAAGCCAGGCAAGCGGGCTTGGGACCGAAGGACGGCTGGGTGGTCGCTCCTCAGAAACTCCTCATCCACCTGCTGGTACTTCTGCTCCACGGGGAGGGAGAGCCGGAGAAACAGGGAGGGTCAGACCAGAAATGCCCGTGGGGATAATCTACCATTAGACCCTGACCTGGCCCCTCCTGCCTTGTGTGAATTAGGCAACTGGTGCTCGGAGCAGAAGGGGAATTGCCCAAAGCCACACACAGCTGGGCGGCTCTCCCAGCTGGCATCGCACAAGACCAGGTGAGCTCGGGGCCACCCAGGGAGGGGACAGTCAGCAGACTAGTGCCCGTGACCCTAGCACTTCCCCTACTTCAGAGTAGACAGGTGCGGGCTCTCACCTTGCCTCAGCCTCCTGCAGTGCGGCCTCAGTTTCCCTAGCTGCTAAATGGTGACAACCCAGTCTATCTCACTGGGTGCTGAGCTGTGACCGAACGTGGCTGGGAGTGTGGTTAGGAACGGGTCAGGGGAAAGGGGACGTGCGTCACCCCTCCCTGTAACTCCCTCTGGTGGACAGGCCGGGTTTTAAGGCCCTACTGGCTCCATTTGCCTTGACTGAGCCTGCAACAGGCTCAAATGGTCAGGCCCTTAGCAGACAGGTAGCCTGAGGCTGTTCAGACTTCTGAAGGAGCCCCAGGCCTTGGCATGGGTGTAAAGGCATGAGGAGGGACGCAGGATGAAGGGGGCTGTGGGCATCGGCTTCCACACAGGATTTCATTTCAAAAAACGCTGTGCTGCTAAAATAAATTCAACTCACAGCTCCAGCCCATCCCTTACTAGTACCAGCAGGGAAACTGAGGCCCAAGCAGGTACAAGGTGGTCCCTCAAATACCAGCATGACACACAGAGCCTTGTACCCAGTGTCTGATTTCTGGGCCAGAACTCTCTGTTTTGCTGCCTCAGCATACCTTTTTGTACCCCTCGCCCAGCAGCCTCTCGAGAAGCAGCACCAGCTGGGAGAAAGGAGGCCGGATCTCAAACTTCTCTTCCCAGCACTTCTGCATGATCTCATAACTGGGGAGAGGCAGAGAGAGGGTCAGGGTCTCTGGCTCGAGGTCTGCTGCCTCCCAGAACCAGGTGAGCAACGAAGGGAGTTGGGGAGGACAGGTGGAGAGGGACTGTTTTTCCTGTTCCCTGAGGAGGCCCTCCCCCCATTGGTGGTTCCATGCGGCGGGCCACCTTGTTGAGCACATGACCCAGGTCTGGCTGGTAGGAGTTTTCATGGCTCTCAGTTCAATGGCTGGCTCTGGATGGGCACGTGACGCCAGCTGAGCCCTTGACAGTCAGCTCGGGGCCTTTTGCCCAAACCATGGTGAAAGCAGTGAGCACGTAGCCATTTGGCCTGAAAACGCGGCCAGCACGGAGGAAAGCAGGGCCAGGTAGAACCGGATTCCTGATGACAGCCTCTGAACACCGAGATCCAGCTATACTGAGGTTTTTCTACATCTCTGGACTAATCTATCTTTGTCTTAAGCCAGTTAAGTTGGATATCTACTGTTTGCACCCAAAAAATCCTCCCAAATGCTCCACTCACATCTCATCGGAGGCGTGGGCAGGCTGGGCCATGCGGTATCCCCGCTTGATGGCATTATAGAACTGCTCATTCATGGGTAGCTCTGGGTAAGGGGTGCCACCTGCAGAGAGCAGAGACAAGAGATATACAGGCTCAGAGGTGTAGAAGAATGGCAGGTGCCCTATTCTATGGGACAGAGAGAGGCACACCAGCCCTAGAATGGACGAGGGTACAGCGGCCTTGGCACTGAGAAATGTGAGCCCCCTTTAGAGGCTCGGGACAGAGACTGCAACCCTCCCCAGAAACAGAGGACCAGAGAACACCAGAATCAAGTAGGCTTTCTGATGTCGCTTCCAAACCCATCCATAATCAGCTGGGGAAGTAAAGAGACCCAGAGAGGAAAGGGACTTGCCAAGGTCACATAGCAGTGAGAAAGCCCCAGAGAGTGGTGACTTGAACCAGAGCCCTGCCCCCTGCCCCAGAGCCTGTCCCCACAGCCCCACCAGGCTGGAGGTATGAGTGGTTAGGGTGGAGGCTGCGCTGTGCCCCTGAGGGCTAGGGGGAAAGGAAGCATACCCAGGGTGAAGATCTCCCAGAGTAGGATCCCGAAGGACCACACGTCGCTCAGGGTGGTATAGAGGCTGTTGAAGATGCTCTCAGGAGCCATCCACTTCAGAGGCAGGAAGGTCTATGGAAGGGCAGGACGGTACGAAGTACAAGGAGGGCCAAACCCCACTCTGCACCTGGCAATTCCTGCTCCAGCCCCTGGCTCCCCGGGCCCTGAGAGCCCGCTCCTACAGGCGAGCAGATCCCACAGCCATCCCCAGTACTGGCCAGAGGACCGGAAGGCCAAATTTCTTTACCCACAGCTGATGACATGGAGCTCTTATCCCTGAGCAAGAGCCCCAGGGTCTGCAGCTCCTCTTCCTGACCCCAGTAGAGACCTCTGGCTTGGTAGAGAGCAGGAGAGCCAGAGACACGCCAAGGTACCACCCAGCTGTGACCTGGCCACCTTCGATCTCTGGGGTCTAGAGTCCCTCCAGCTCTGGGATTCACTGTCCCCTTGTGGAAAGTGGGAACATGAGTGGCAGGCAGGATGGTCACATTTAACCAAATACACATTTGACTTATTCCGTTTCCACCCTTCCCAGGACCCATTACAGCTGGTCCTGTCATGACCGGTGAATCTGAGCCCTGGGCTCACCCTCATACCCTTAGCATCTCCACCCCACTCCGCACAGCTGGTGGCTTCCCTTCCTGGGCCTGCACACATGGCTAGGCAGGCCAAGCCTGTCACCACTGGACAGGGCAGGTCACAGGGAGCTCCGTCCTGATCTCCCTTGTGCCACAGCCATGCTGACCGGGAGAGAACTTGTTCCCAGGGTCAGAGACACACAGGATCAGGCAAGGTACTCACGCTGCCTTTGGAGATATAGTTTGAGTCTCGCATGATGTCACGAGCCAGGCCGAAGTCACAAATCTTGACCAGCTTGCCCTCACAGATGAGCACATTTCTGGCTGCCAGATCTCGGTGGACACACTGGTTTGGGGGGGATGGGAGCTGAGGCCTTGGAGGCAGTTGTGGGGAAAGACCTGCCTGTCAAGGGCTTTGGGGAAAATGTATGACCACACAGGTGTGAGAGGCCACACAGGTGAGAGGGGCCACATGGTGAGGGCGTTCACTGTCCTCACCCACCAGAGGGGACGTCACTGCCATATGGAGCTGTGTACTTGGAGGACCCTGGCTGGCTGGGTGGCCCACCTCCCCATGACCCTAACTGCCCACTGTGACCACACGTACGTTCTTGGAGGCCAGGAACTCCATGCCATTGGCCACCTGGTAGCTGAAGCCCACGAGATCTGTGTAGCTAAGCACTGGGGACTCGTTGATCAGAGTTACCCGACAGGTCCTCTCGGGAGCTAGGGGAGAACAGAAGTTCACCGACCATCTTGTGTCTCCACATGGCCCACAGAACCCCTGCCCTTTTGGTCTTGGAGGCTGACGGTCCAATACAGGTGGCTACTGATCCTCCAAGTCCCCCACAAAAGGAAAACAATTTCCAAACACCTAATGTAAACCTCTCCTACCTCATCAGTGCTCTCGTTGGCCGGAGAAGCCTTTGGCGTTAGCCCCGGGCCACCTGTATGGAGCCTGACCCACTTGGCTTCTCAGGGACTGGGTCAGCCTGCGGCCTCCTCTGTGCCCATGCCCCAGGAGGCCAAGGAGTCCCCCAACCCCAACTCTTCCCACTCTGGATCCAGAAACAGAGGTTAATGCTGGGGCTCCATCACAGAGCAGCTTTGTGCAGATGGTTAACCTCAGTTTCTGCATCTATGAAACAGGGACAAGGCCACCTTCCTCCCAGGGTTGTTGCCAGCCAGGGCATACGAAAGGCTTTGATAGGAATGCACGACGGCAGAGGGGTGGGGGCTGTGCCTAGGTGAGGACCCTGGGCGCACCCACCGGTGGGAACATAGTTGTCATAAGGGGCCATGTAGCTGGAGGACTCGATGTCTGCATATTTGACGCCTCCTTTCATGTCCAGCATGGGCACGTAGTCCACCGACTCATCCTTGCTCATGTCCATGTAGCCACCGTCGCTCTCCCCGGGCAGAGACACGTGGCTGGGGGAGAGAGGAACATCACAGAAGGAGGGCCCACGGGCTTTCCTTTGGCTTCCCTTCCTGCCCCTGCTCACCCCTAGGCCCCACAAGGCCCTGTCACTCATGGCTTTCCTCTCTCTTTCCACCACCCATCTTCCTCCAGCCTGTCACAACTGGAATGACCACGCAGTGAGCCCTTCCAACCAGCCCATGGGGCGCTAAGCTGGGCAGCGGGGTGCTGGAGGACACAGGTCCCAGGGCATGTCCTCAGGGAGCTCACGCCTAGGCGGGATCACAGCATCCCACAGAAGGGCAGGGAGCACGGCGCCTTTCTAGGGAGCACAGCCTTTCCATCTGGCTGTGATGCCCTGTGAGGGCCCAGCCACAGCCCAGAGTGGGCAAGGAGTTGCCCCAAGGCCTCTGCCTGCAGCGCCAGCTCCCTGGAGCGCTACGGGGTCACGTAAGCCCGTGTCTCCGGAGGCCAACCAAAGACCGCAGGAAATCGGTCCGATGCCGGGGAGGACGGGGTGAGTTCGCATGTCTTTCGGCGACAGACCCACGCCCTGGCTCCTAAACTGTCTCTGCCCGGCCTGGCTTCAGCTTCCGCGCCGGGCGGGGAGGGCGTGCGCAGGTTCTCCCCGGGGCCCCCCGAAGCCTCCTGCGGTACCTGGGCAGCGGGAGCCCGCTGGGCAGGGCGTTGCTGTAGAGCTCGGCGCCGGGCGGGTGGCGCTTGTCGGAGCCACGCTGCAGGAAGGTATGCTTGTTGCGGTGCAGGTAGTCCACCAGGTCCCCGTACTGGCAGTACTCGGTGATGATGTAGATGGGTCCTGTGGGGGGACAGGCTCAGGCACGGCCCCTTCCAGGGGGCGGGGGCACACACCTGCCGTCAGGGTCCCGAGGCTAATGACGGGCTGCGCCTTGGAAAGGCAGTTTGGGAAGACGGCCAAGAGGCTTTGGCCCTGGGCAAACCCCGGTTCTTTTCCTGCCTCTGTGACCACGAGCGAGATACTTCTCGCGGAGCTTTACTTTCCGCATCTGTTAAATGGGGCTAATCCTAGCCACCTCCCTGAGCGTTCGTAAGATAATGCTTTTGTCAGCTCGGCCCGGGGCCTGGCATGTAGCAAGGACACGGCGGCAGATACCACCGATCGGTCTTCAGACTGAAGCTCAGGCTGGAGCCCAGTATATAAAGCAAATAAAAGCAACCATTTATTATCAGGTTACCGTTTCAATCCAAATACAGTACATTTACTTGAAGTCAATCCGTGGGAACTTGAAGATACTAATGAAAACAAACATTTTGAAATGGGTGGGATCTTGCGGACATAAATTGGCCTATGTGTGCAATTCACTTCTGTATTTTATTTTGGTTGCACAATACTGAGGAAAATCCCAAATCTCACAATAAGCAGCTGCAAACAATGATAACACTTCTTTTTTTTTTTTTTTTTTTATGGCCTAACTTACAATCAGAGCTTCAAAAATACACACTAGCTGGAGAGACTTCATTCTATGATCTGAATGAAAGCAGCTCCCAGTCAGCATGCTGGTGGTCTCCAAGTGTAGGGATAGAACTCACCTCACAGGGGCTGGGATTTATGCATTTGTAGAAGGTGTTCTGAAAATTTTAAAAAGTCAGAAGACCCCTGGGTTTGGAAACGGCCGACCTGAGGAGTCCTTAGGCCTTGAAGGTGTCGTGATTCCATGAGTTTGTAAATCCCACCCCCATCTGGGTCTGTGAAGTGAGGGCACCAGACAGGGTGGGTGTAGACCCTCCAGCTGGAGAGTCTTGTTGTCCGTGGACTGAGGAGGGGGTGGGGAGGGGCCAGGCTTGGGCTGCTGGCACTTTCCAGAATCCTCTGGGGGAGTGGTTTTGGTACCTCCTTTCGTGCAGGCCCCCAGCAAGTTGACCACGTTCAGATGGGGCCCGAGGTGACTCATGATCTTCAGCTCTGACATGAGGGCTTGCTTCTCGCTGCTGCGGGCTGTGGCTGAGGGAGAAGATGGGGCCTCAGGCCTGCCCTGTCACTCAGCCCCAAGGAGGCTGTTGTGCTCCACACCCTACTGTAAGACCCAGATGGCCTGGGGCGGTGAGGACCCATGAGTAGGGGGAGGAGAAAGAGGATGGGAGGAAGGTCAGGGAGGGAAGGAGGTGCCCGGAAGGGGGGCAGGGTGAGGAAACGTCTTAGCCAAAGCAGAGTCTGGAGTGGTGCTGGCCTCCAGGTGACTACATTGCTTGTGCAAATCAGAACCAGGGAGGGCCTGAATGTGTGGGCAGGGGGCAGGGGGGACGTGGGGGCCCAGATGTGAGGGAGGGGCAGGCTCCCAGGACTCACATTTCAGCATCTTGACCGCCACTTTCATCGTGGCCTGCGAATGGCTCAGGCCGTGAGCTGTGGCCTCCACCACCTGCCCAAAGGCCCCAGAGCCGAGGGTGCGTCCTGGGGTAGAGACGATCCCTCAGCTCCTGGCCCACCAGGAAACGGCATCGCCTGCTCTCTCGGAGGTCAATCCCCCAAGCTAACCTGGACTTAAGGTGTTCCCCTCAAGGAGTCTCCCACAGTGTTTTGCAGCCCTTCCTGGTGTCTCATCTAAGTCCTGCCTGCTTTCTGGTCCATCTTTAGTCCCTGGAAGCCTTCCTCCCATCCCAAAAGGGAGCTCAGCTCCTCTGCACGCCTCAGCCTTCCCAGCTAGACTAAGCACAGGCCTGACATGCAGCCTGTCCTCGATTAATACTCCCCCTCTTGCCACGAAGGGGCCCTATCTCACATAGTCATAGGATCATAGGACCTCAGTGCTGAACCCTCCCTGGGGGATCATCTTGCCCCATGTATGGAGGGGGGCACTGAGGGCCAGAGAAGGCAAGACAGCAGCCCTAGTTCTCAAAGCTAGTCATGGCAAGGCTGGATCACACCTCAGTCTTCCCACCCGCCACCAGGCCCCAGACCGCCACACGAGGACTCCCTGGACTGACCAAGCACAAGCTGGTCCCGTGGCAGCTCCCACGTGGAGTCGTAGGGCAATTGCATAGGGTCCACGTAGATGTACTCATGGCCATCGGAGCTCACGGATTCAATCACCTTCCATCGGATCTCATAACGTGGCTTCTGCAAAACCAACACCAGGGATGGATCATCAGAGGAGGTCTGGGCTTTGGGGTCCACTAGCCCACAGCCCCTTATGGAACAGATGGAGCAGGAGACCGTGAGGCCCAGAGAGGGGCAGAGGCATATTTGAAGTCACACAGCAAGTTACGGATAAAGCTTCATGGGCTCAGTGAGAACAGGTGCCAAGAGGCCCCAGCTTGGCAGTGGCTAAGGAGCAGCTAATAGCCAAGGGCCTGGCTCAACAGGACCAGCTTGCCAGCTTCTCCCAGAGCCCTGGCTGCTTCCAGATGGGAGTAGAGATCCTGCAGTCGTGGGAAGTGACACAAGCTAGGGGCACTCAGCTAGATGTGGACAGCCCCTCCCCATGCTGGGTCACTTGCAGTGGGAATCTCAGAAAGATGTAAGCTTACAATGCTGAAATCATAGGATGTTGGGATCACAGGATTGGAATCTTAGAATGACAGAATCATGGGTGCTGCAATCCTAACTTAGGAATCTTAAAATGTTGGGATTGCAGAATGGTGAAGCCTCAGAACAGAACATTGAAATTACACGTTAATAGGATTAGAATGCATTTCAGTAGAAGCCTGGGAGTCTCTGGGGGTGAGAGTTGTAAGAATCCTGGAGCTCATGTAGTCCACCCAGAAAGTGCTTTGCCCTATGGCTGGGAGGGGCAGGGCTGATGTCCAAGCAAGACCCAGGAGGGCAGAGCAGAGACAAGGGACCCTGGCTGTCCTGGACCAGGCCCGAGATGGCCCTTGCTGCTGGGGGTGGAGGTAGCTCCATGTCGTTTTACACCTGCACTCTGTGCTGGGCTGGGACGTGACCAGATCCTGCAACATTCAAGGGCAGCTGGGGGCTCCATGTAAAAAAAAAAAATAGTGTGCCAGTCTGCACCCACTAGGCAAGGGTGGGAGGTTACCTTCTGCCAGAGCATGATGAGGATGATGAGGGAGATGACTGTGAGGACCACCAAGGCCAGGATGGCCGAGATCACCACCACCTTGAAGGGCAGAGCTGGAGGCAGAGACAAAGAGCTGGCCATAAGCAAATGGGGAGCTTGGCAGCTCCCTGGCAGTCCTCCCGTCCCCCCACCGCTGGTACGGCAAATCCTCTCTACTGTCCTGCCTGGAAGGGAAGCCCCCCTCCACCAACCATGGCCTGTGATGTCAGACTCTCAGCCCCTCCCTCAGGGCCACACCTCCCATAAGAACCTATATGCCCCTCAGTTACAACGGCGCTCAGCTCTCTCTGGGCCCCCATATGCCTTCAGCCCTTGCAGGGCTCAGTCAGGCCTGTGTGCCGTGGCTCCAGATTGGATGTCAGCTGCTGACTGCCTGGGCTGCCCTCGCCCCTGAATCTATGCCCTCGCCTGGCTGTCACAGCTAGCACAGAGCCTGACCGAGGGGCCAACGGACTGAGGGACTGAGCTCCCACAGCCCGATGAATCCCAACTGTTTCCTCCCCTGCTTCACCCGGAGTCTCCAGCAGCGTTGGGATAGTGATGATAGTTATAAGGTGCATCCCCCAGGGAACAGGGGTGACCAAGTCAGGCTAACTCTGGGCCCCCAAGCGCCAAGTCTCCTCCTGAAGGCCTCGGCCTCTTTGCTGTACGATTTCCCATTCTCTTCCCCTCCCTTTGCATCCACCCCTGCCAGACCCTCATCTCCCCTACCCTGCCCCACTGGCCACCCATGGGGCCCTGAGGAACTCATTCCCTCTTCCTCTGTCCCCCACTTGCCCCTCTTGGCACCCCTGGAGGCCCTGTCCCTCCTCCTCAGGGTCCCAGACCAACATCACTCCTCTCCTCCCTCTCCCCACCAGGTCACACATCCCAGGCCTGGGAAGGAAGTCTGAATTTTCTAAGGAGCCATCTCAGTAAAAAGAAGAGGCTTCATGCAGCCACGGTAGTTTCCCTGTGGGCTGGTACGTGCCTCCCCGCTCAGGTGGCACACAAAAGCTCTACTTCTGTCTTGCTCTGGGCTGGTCTGCAGGTGCCCACTGGCTCAGGGGTACGTGTGCATGCGTGGGAGTGGGAGTGAGATAAGGTATGAAACCCCCACCTGTCCCACCACAGGCCAGGGGGCCGGAGGCAGCTCTGTATGTGTGCGAGCTCATGTGTGTGTGAGCCCACCAACCTACCAACGCCTCGCACAGCCTTCAAAGCTTTGCTCTCCCTGGCTTCTGCCTACCCCTGAGCCCCTCCTTTACCACTCCCTTCCCTTTCTCTCTTTATCTCCCCCCTCCTCTAAATACACACATACTCTGGGCTCCAGCCACACTGAATGCCTTTGAGTTCTCTGATCCCATCTTGCCTCTGGGCTCTCCCACGCACAGGCCATTCGCTTTGACTGGAACACCATTCCTTACCAGGCTAACTCCCAGGTATCTTTCGGGTTTTGACCTAAAGCTTTCTTTCTCCAGGACACTTTCCTGAAACCCCCAGCTGGGCACGGAGCCCCTCCTCCCTCTCGGCTTCCCCCCCAGAGTACTGCCCCCTGCAGTGGGATTGCCTAGTTCCTTGTCTGCCTTCTCTCTGGACTGGGGGCACTAGAAGGGCAGGCGGGGCTGGGCTTCTCCAGGGAGAAAGAGGAAACAAGCGAACAACCGAGGTACCAGCGCAGGGGGAAATGCCTGCGCAGGGACACTATATGCATGGCCGCCGCTATTCCTATGGACAGGAATCGTGTGTGGGTGTGTGTGCACCTGCTCACAGACACGCACGGTACAGCAGGCATCTGTGTGCAGAGACTGTGCTCGCACGCTTCCACAGAGGGGATGCTGCGCTCCACGCTGCGGACATGCACCGCGCCGGTTTGCACACACGCACAGGAATTGTACGCGCACTGTCTGCACCCTCGTGCGATCGTGCATCCACACACACACACTCGTGGGTTTATATACATGGCTGGGGATTGGGCGTGGTCATATACGTGGTTTATACACATGCGCTCGGTGGGTTCCCACAGAGGCGGGGTGTCATGCACGCTTGTGCACACGCTTGCAGACATACACCGCAGCCTTGGCTCACAGACCCTCACGGGTGTACGCGTGGGTGCCAGTACTGCGGTGTTGTGTAAGTGCACAGGGTCATACTCCGGTGGGCTTTGCCATGCTCCTGAGTGCCCACAGGCACGCTGACTCTGGCCCACTGGGCTCACGGGCACAGTTCCAAGAATGGCGGGGTGCAGGTGGGGGTGGAGGGCCTTCAGGGGCCACCCGGGCCGGAGGACTCACAGTGCGGCACCACGGTGACCTCCTGCATGTCGCGTCCCAGCAGGTTGTGTAGAGTGCAGCGCACTGACAGCGGCTGATCCACACGGCGCAGGCGCAGTGTGCTCACCACCTCGAACTCCTGATCCTCGGGCCAGTATGTCACGTTAGTCTCCAGCTGGCTCTCCTCCTCCGAACTGTTCCCCAGCGGCGTGGGCGGCAGCTCGCGCGGACACCTGCCAGGAGAGCCAGCCGGGTCAGCTTCCAGTCCCTGCTGCTTCCCGCCGCCTGGCCCTGAGCTCATTCCTCCTGTGGCCCCTCGACTGACCGGCAGGGGGCGCTCCTACCCCAGAACTGAGAGCCCTGGGCGGCAAAATCCACTCCCTTCATTCGATCGTCTGAGTCAAGGTAAGGAAACGGGACAGTTTAGGTCATGCAGAGCATCTCCAAGAAGCCACATCCTCTTGGACGGAGCTCTAGCCTGGAACAGCGTGCCCGGAGGAAGAGGCTGGACTAGATGAACTCCACTGGGTCCTACCAGGCCACTGTGGTCACCCTGGGAGCCAGAGGCCCCGGGTCTGCTTACCTTTTGAGGTCGCTGCAGGTAGACCAGGTGAGGTGTGGCTGGGGCATGCCCCGGCCGCGACAGCGGACCGTCTGCTCCCCACTGGCAGGGTGGCTTTCACTCAGCTCCAGCACACGGACAGGCACTGCGTGGAGAGGGCAGGAGGCCAGGAGGTGGGGAGGTCAGGAAGGACAGTCAGTGAGAAAGGCCCAGGGGAGGACCTGGCCCAGGGTCTCCCCTGGGTGGGGGGAGGGGAGCCTCAGGCTGCAGGTGAACATCAAATACCAGGAATCACCGTGTGAAAACTGACAGGTTCCCCTTCTGGGTACTTCAAAGGGAAGGCCTCAGTAGGGTGCTAGTCTGTCTCTAACACCTCTCTGAGACTCGCTAATCTTCCCTTTTAACAAAGACAGAGCAGGTCTGAGGGTCAGAGAAAGCCCTGGGAAAACGAGAGCATGGAGCTAGAATTTAATAGCATCGCTTTGTTTTCCCAGAGTTTATTTTAGTGGTTGCTTTATATTTATGACATGTGATGCTGATTTTCCATCTACAATTGAGAGGTTAAATTCTCTTTCAAAATACATTTATTTTTAGAAAGTCAATTGACAAAACAGTAAGTCATTAGTGTGTCATTCCCCTGCTCAAAACCCTGCCGTGGCTCCGTCATTTCAGTCATAGTAAAAGCCAAAGTCCATACAAGGGCCCGAGGGGACCCACACAATCTGCCCCCCCCGCCGACTTCCAGGTCTCAGCTCTGACCTCATCTCCCACCACTCTCCCCCTCCTCGGTTCCAGCCACACCGGCTTTCTGCTGTTGGTCCTGCCTTGGTACTGCTTGGTGGGCCCTTGCCCCACAGAACTGCTTGGTGAATGCCCTCACCTTCTAGAAGTCTTCACGAAAATGTCGCCTCCATGAGGCCAACTTGATCAGGCTATTTGAAATCGCAACCCTCACTGCCCCGTGCCCCCTGAACTCTCTATCCTCCCTACCCAGCTTTTTTCCCACTTCGACAGCACTTGTTACCTCTAATCTTCTGTGTCATTTGCTTGTTCTCTGCCCTACTGTTGAGTGTTTGTCTTCCCCCAGCAGGAGACAAGCGATGCAAAGGCAGGGACTCAAGAACCTGAACAGACTGGTGTGTTGTTGTTGCTCAATACATATCTATCTAGTTAGTAGTATAGTATAAGGGTATGTGAGAAGGAAAAATCATGCACTGGTACATGAATGCCTGAGGCTTTAGGGACACCAGTGTAGCCCACTGGCCTCCTTACACAGCTTGAGGCCCAAAGAGGGGATATGCCGAGTTCACACAGGAGCGGAAGTGTTGGAGCTCAGCCTAGAAGCCAGCCTCCTGAGTCCTCAGCTCCCTCTCCTGCTCCTTCTCCTCCTATGGGTGGGAGGACAGGGTAGGAAGGGAGAGGGAAGCGGGGTGGGGTGGGGGAGGCAGGGTGCACAGCTCCGTACCGTTGACCTGCAGCTGGAAGGACAGCTGGGCCTCCGCGTCCTCATGGAAGGCCCGCATGGTGTAGCAGCCAGCCTCAGCCACCTTCACCCGCACCAGCGTCAGTTCTGACACGTACCTGTGGAGCACGACAGGCCTAGTTGCCAGAGCTGGAAGAACTCTCACAGTCCCCCCGACCCTCCTTGTACAGAGAAGAGAAACCAGGCCCAGGGAGGGGCAGGGGCTTCCCAAGGTCACGCGGGTGTCAGGAGCAGAGTGGGACTCACACCAGTCTCCTGAATCCCCACCCATTGGCAGCTGGCTCCACTGAGCTAAGAGGGGGGTTGGGGAGGGATGACAAGGGCGGGGGAAGCACCCTTTCCCTCTCCCCTCCACATCTCACTCCTGCAGAAAGGCCTGACATGGCTTTATCCTCACCGACCGCACCTTGTATCCACCTGCTCATCTGCAGCCTTCGGACCACCATCCATGCATAGGTAGTAGTGGCCCACCTGGCATGCTCTTCCCTGATCATCTGGCCTTTTTCTCCTCAGTTGCTCCCAGCTGGTTCCCCCCATCACAAGGACAACTAAACATCTGGGTGATCATCTGCGGGTGTCTGTTTCCCCGACTAGACAGGAAACTCTAGGAGGGCTGGAACAGTCTATTCGGATCTCTGCAGCCTCCCCAGTGCCTGGCATGGCGCCTCGCACATAGTAGGCTCTCAGGAAAGGTGGATCTAGGTGTGTCCAGTGGCTGAAAGCTGTGAACTGCCTGGCAGCTGCAGGGAATAACGTCAAGAATGGAGTGGGGGGGCCGCTGCTCACCGGGTCTCAGACACATTGCGTGTGGACAGGGAGATCTCGCCTGCGTTGGAGTCGCCTAGCGTACGGTTGTCCTTGAACCACATGACAGTAGGCGGCGGGTAGGCCTCGAACACGACCTGCAGAGTCCGGCTGCGGTGCAGCTCCGCGAATTGTACGGGGTCCAGCTCTCCCAGCAGCCGCACGTAGCCATTCTCTGCAAGGGGCGGCCGTCAGGGGCGGGGCCCCAGGGGGCGGGGCTAGGCCCGGCTACCAATAGGGCAGCGCCCCCTGGGGGCGGGGCTCCTGGAGGCCAGGCATCTATGGAAGGCCAGAGGAGCCCGGCCTTCCGGGGGCGGGGCTTCAGACTTTAGGGCCTGAACCAGTGATGGAGTTACCGGAGCTGGGGTTGAAGTTGGGACTGAGACTGGACCAGGCGCCGAACTGGGGGTTGATACTGATTTCGGGACCGGGTTTGAGATTGGGACTGGAGTTGTCGATCTCACCGCAGCCTGGCTGAATTTGAGGATGGGGCGACCTGGGCCTGGAATGGCAGTTGGGTTTAGATCTCGGGTTGGGGCTGAGGTTCTGGCTAGGCAGAAAGTCCACGGTGGGATTAGAGTTGGATTTGGGGCTGACACTGCGTTTTGGTTTGGGTTTATTCTGGAAATGGGCTTTGGTTGGTACTGAAGCTAGAGCTGTACTGGAATTGGCTGACAGTACCCTGGGGCTATGATAGGGTCTAGGTCCAGCTCAGAAGGAGGGTGGGGGCTAAGCCCAAGGCACGCACCGACCACAGTGACATTGATGGACTTTTCATCTTGATGCTCATTCACACTCTCCGATACATTGCAGATGTAGGTCCCTGAATCGCCAAGCTCAGCACTAGGGATGTGCAGGATGGAGCGTATGTGGGAGGGCATATTGAAGAGGAAGTCAGTCACTGGCTCCACCAGCCGCCCACTCTGGAGGAACAGGTGGGGTAAGCCCCCCAGTCAGGCAGGGTCCAAGAAGTTAGGCTGCAAGTCAAGATAGCCATCCTTCCCTGGACGTTCCTCCAACCCCTGGCCCAGCATTACCTCCATGCGTGGGTATGTCCATTCAAAGTTGACCACCTCATTTCCGGTCACGATGCACATGATGGTGATGTTCTCACCCTGACGGACCACAGTCTGCACTGCATTCACTGAGACATTGATGGATGACACTAATGGAAAGAGATTAGTTTAGGGCTGAGGAAGTCACCACCAGCCACCACACCAGCCCTTCAGCTTGGGGATGGGGTGGGGATTCAGAGAGGGAAGGGATGTCTGGTGCGGAAGATTCATTCATTCAACAAATATTTGTTAACTATGTCCTATACGCCAAGTACTATGCTGGGCACTGGGACTTTAGCAGTAAACACAACAGATAAAATTCCTGTCCTCATGGAACTGACATTCTAGAAGAGATAACAGTCTTCAGTCAATGTATTCCCTGGGCACCTAAGTACAGGAGAAAGGTATGGAGCACAAACCATGTACCAAGGAGCCTCTGTCTTTAATCCTCACAATAATCCCCCTAGGTGGGCAGTCATTCTTTTCCTCATTTTCCAGAGGAAAAAGCAGACTCGGAGACATTATGTGCCCCATGCAAACTCAGTGCACAGCTGGGATTCAAACCCAACCAGCTCTGAGGCCCATGCCTTTGCCTACCACGGTATACGGCCCAGCCCTGCCACCCACCTTCCCCATAACCTCGGGCATACTCCAACCTCTGAGTTTCAAGCTTCTCACCTGTAAAATGGGGAAACACTACCTGCCTTCCAAGACTACAGTGAGAATCCAGTGAAAAATGAAATTGCCCACTTCGTAAGCTGGAAAGGGCTCTACCTCTGCAGAGGGTCATACTGGCCTCTGCTGAGCATCAGGCCAGAAAGGGGGCTCACCCTGGAGGCTGTAGACATAGTAGGCTTCAGAATCCACTTCCTTGTCCCCGATGGTGGTTTTGCAGACATAGGTCTTGTCCTCGAAGGTACCAGAGAAGCCACGTTGGTGGTCATAGGGGATGGGCAGTGGAATATCCACTTTTTTCTCATGCAGTGTCACCACCAGTCTCGGATCTGTCACTCGGCACGGAATTGTGATCTCAGTTATTTCCGTGAGGAAGATGAATAGTTCCTCGGGGTCGACCGGAAGAAAACCCATCATGGGATCTGCCAGGTGTGGGGCCAAGAATGAGGATCAGGGGAACTGGTTTTCTGCCTATCCCCTGAATTTCTTTGTGACCTTGAGCAGGTGTCTTCCCCTCTCTTGCCCTCAGTCTTCCCGTTACAGAATAAGGATGCTCTCAGAGGTCCCTTCTAGTTTTAACATTTGATATGGTCAGCACCAGGGTGAGAAAGAAGATAAGCCACAAGTTGAAGGGTAGCTGGTACCCAGAGCTTGGAGTATGGGAAAGATGGGATGTGGAGGCCCAAAAGAGAGCATATTGGAACCTGCTGAAAAGGCAGAGTTCTGGGGAGCCAGGAACGGGGTGGGCTGGCAGGGAGCAGTCAGATCTCCAGACCCAGGGGTGGGGAGTGAACATACTCCTGGACTGACCCAGGCTGGATTCCATGATTTGTCTGCATGTCTAAGCTGGCCGTGTCTCACAATGTCACTAAGCACTCTCAGCTCCCCCCAGACGCCTGCAGGTGAGAGAAGTCAGGGAGTGAGCATGCAGGCGGGGGCGCTTACCTGGCACAAAGATATAGAGCCGTTTTCGTTCACCAGGCTCCAGCCCATGGGAGCCTTGGTAGGTGCAAAAGTATTCTCCTGTGTCTATCCCAGTGACATTGGTCAGTGTCAGTGTGCTGGAGAAGGTGCCATCCTGGGTCTTGGTCATTTTCTGCAGGGGCTCCTGGGACATCCGTTCCCACACCACTGGAGCGGGCCCCGAGCAAGTCAGAACGAAGTTGCTGGAGACATTGAGGACAAGCTCTGGCCCTGGGGGTGTGATGACCAGGCCCCAGGAGGCCTGTGGGCCCAGCAGCAACAGGAGGGGCAGCAACAGCACCTGGCCTTCGGGAGAAAAGGCATCAGAGCATCAGCACCTCTCCTCTCGGCGGATCCTGGGGGAGGCCATATCTGCACTGTCCTTGAAGACCACACCTCCCTAATCCGACACAGACTGGAACCCATGGCTCTGAAGCCTGCTTGCCCAGTGCCCGGGCCCCAGGGACTCCTTCCAGTCCAGCCTCCTGGCCTCCTGATCTTAGTGCCTCTAGATCCCAGGCTTCAGAGTCCTCCAGCTATGCTGTGTTCAGGCTGTGGGCATGTTCTCCCAAAGGCATCAGGAAATCCTCGGGAAGCAATTCCCAGGCCTCCAGTTCCTGCATTACTTCCCAGGTCACTTTCTGAGCCCCTTCCCTGCAGCTGCCCCAGCTGCCCGGGTTCCACCCAAGCCCAGAAGTGGTCTTGATTGGGGAGGGTGGGGCAAGGTAGCTCAGAGTAGGGAAGACAGGACCGGAGAGAATCAGCAGCAACCCCCCCCCGGGGGGGCTGGAGGGAACTGGGGCGGGGTGTCAAATGATTGGCTCCTCTCCCCCTGCTGATGCCCTCTGGGAAGGATTCTGTAAGCCACGTCCCCCAAGCCCACAGATGCTCAGCCAGCCAGCCAGCCATCCTCGGTAGGCCATGGGCTGGTCACTGATGGCCAGTGACCGTTGGCTGCCTGGTCAGCCACCCAGGCCCTGGAGCACCGACTGCATGTAACAGGCAGTAGTGAGGGAAGGGTGTGCTAGCGGAAGCCCAGCCAGGACTTGGGAGCTCATAGGCAGTGAGGGATCCAGGCAGGGGAGGGGAGCCCCAGACCGGAAGCAGACCAGCCAGGCTGATACCAAAGAGTGCTGGGAAGAGGTGGGACACTGGGGTGACTGTTAGCAAGTGGGGTGGGGACATTTGGTGAGGAGGCATGGGGTATGGAGGGCTGAGCAAAGGATCTGAGCTAATGGCTCTGGACAAGCAGGGGTCCACTGAGGTTTCTGAGCTGAGTGGACAGTAGAAGGAGGCCTCCACTGAGCACCACTGGAAAGGCAGGAAATTGAGGCTCGAGAGCACAACAGTGCGCCTGGGCTCCCAGGCCCCAGTGCTAGCATGCACCGCCCCTGCCAGCTCCAGGGTTCTGCTTAGTGGCTCCCTGGGAGCCCCCTCCACCTTTGACGACAGGAGCTGGAATGACACTTGGAAGCCACAGTGTACCTACCTTTGAGGACAGGAGCCGGCATGGTGCTCGGAGGCTGCATGGTGTCCTGCAGAGTTAAATAGGGGTCAGGGCTCAGAGTGGGCAGAGTCATTGCAAATCGGACTTAGCACCTGGGTCCTGCAGAGTAAACCCCAGCCTAGACCACCCAGCTTCCATGTCTGTGGGGCTGAAGTCAGAAGTCACCCATGTCCCATGATCAAGAGGGCACTCATGCCCCAGAGTCCCCTCCCCCTGCACGGGGCTGGGCCTCAGGGTGCGTGGACCCTACTTTGGCTCTGCCTCTACCTCTCCAGCGGCCTTGGCTGAACCCAGGCCTCTCTGGGCCTTAGTTTCTCTGTATGCACAATGGGAGTGGGGGACTCGGGCTGGATGGTGTCCAGGGGCCCGCCAGCTCCAACAGCCAGTCCTCCGGGTGACAGTCTCAATACCAGGCTCTTATCTGCCAGGACAAATATTTGGGAAAGCGTGATGAAAGGCCAGGGGGAGCAGGAGGGGGAAAGCCAGAACCCAGAGAACTCCCACAGGCTCCAAAAGCACAACAGGAAGTGGAGGCGGCTGTGGGAAGGGAAGCGGGGGAGTCAGGACTGCGGAATGTGGGGGGGCACCCCCATGCTTGGGCCCCCTTTACGCAGCCCCAAGCAGCACAGGGAGGCCTAGGGGGGAGCGGCCAGGGGCTGAGCCCAGGGGAAGCCCCACTGCATGGCAAGGCTTCAAAGGTCCTTGGAGACTCCGGAGTCCAAGTCCCCCCACCCCCACCCCCACCCCCAGGGTCCAGACAGGGAAACCAAGGCTCTGGATGGGATAGAAGTTTGCGCAGGATGACACAGCAGAGCTTGTTGAGGAGGGAGACAAAGAGACCCGGAATGATAGAGGCAGAGAGAGACAGACAGAGACCGAGAGGGAGGAAGCACACAGTGAAGGCAACAGCAAGAGACCGAAGCAGGGACGCAGGGAGACACAGGGAGACGGATGGAATTAGGTGGGTCTCTGCTCCATCCCTGCCCTTGGCAGCGCCATCTGAGGATCCCAGATAAGCACCAATAGCCGAGCCGGCAGGGGTCTGCCTGCAGCATGGGTAGGAAGGAGGCCAGAGGCGGACAGGGGTAGGAAGTGAGCACGTGACCAGGCACAGGGAGCCTCCCGTGCTGTGGGTCTGCTGACTTCCCTGAGAGGCTGCCCAGCCGGCCGGCTCCTCAGGCCACGCCCAGACGGCCCCCACTCCGCTCCCCAGCCCGGCCCTTTACTTTTCAAGCCAGGGCTGGGCTCCGGGTCTGAGCCCCACTGGGGCTGCCTCCTGTGTCCTCAGTCTCCAGCTCTCAAAATGGGATGACAGGGAGTGTGCCACTCCTGCTGGGGCTGCATTTCCACCTACCGCTGGGCCCTGGGCTCAGCGCTGCCCAGCACCCCAAGAAGCTCTGTGAGCAATTCTGCTCTGCCCTTCCTCCTTCTCCCCGTCCCTTCGGGCCGGCCTGCCTGAGGGTCTCTTCATTCCCCCGCCCCCTTCCTCTCTCTCAACTGTTCCAGACCCGAAGCCCCGCCCTTCCACAGCACTCCCACTCCCATCCCTCCCGCCCCAGCCCCTCCAGCTGGATGCCAGTCTTGCGCCAGCAGGAGGGAGCAGTGCCGAGGCAGAACCAGCAGCCCCCACAGAGGCCCATCTGCCCCTCGGTGGGTGCCCCTCTGGCTCCCCCGTTCCTGCCTGAGGTCTCAGCCAAAGAAAATCATTAGCAGCCAAGGCTGGGGGAGGGGGTCATTTCAGCCTCCCTGCCCCTCCCCTCCCAGCCTCCCTGGCTGGCCACACTGTTTATTATTCTAAAGGAGGAATTTGGTCGGCTGGCCTGGAGATGGGAGGTCACTGCAACCAGGGCTGGCCTGGCTCTGGAAGGCTGGGCCTTGCAGGCTGGGCCCCCAGCTCCCCTGACCCTGGCTCCTCTCCTGCTGGGCCTGGGGCTGGGGGCAGCTCAGAGTCTCAGACTCTGAGCGAGGAGAGGCCTTCTTGAACAGGCAGCAGCCCAGAGAGGGACAGAATCGTGGCCTAGACACACAGCAAAAAGGCAGAATCAGGCTAGGGAGAGGATAGGCTGGGCAGAAGAGCTCAGGGCGAGTGTAGATGCCCCAGGGGTCTTGGACTGACTTCTCACTCTAGGAAATGAGCATTTTGGCTCCAGTCACAAGGGACCTCAGATTCACCATGAGACTCAGCGTGTCTCCCACCTTCTCTGAGACTCAGTTTCTCCCCATGAATACAGGGCGAGGTTTGGATGGGGCAACTCAAAGAGCTACCCCTGTTCTAAAACTGTGTTTTTGACTGGCCAGAGAGAAGGTTCTGGTCACTGTTATTCCTGCTGGGGTGGTTTAGGGAGGTGAGGGCCGATGAGAAGGAGGGGGCTACATTACTGAGGCTGGAGTCATTTGAGAATCCATAACCCATCTCATTCAACAGATTGAATTTCCTTGACCATTTGGTCACAGACATGCTGTGTGGACTTTGACAAATTGTTTCCCTTTCTGGGCCTCACTTTTCCTATCTCTACAATTAGGAGTTAGCCAGTCTTTCAGGGGACTTTGAGACAAACAGGTGATATGGAAACACGGGAGGCGGCAAGAGAAAGGGGGGTGTGGACAACAGGAGGACTGGGAAGAACGAGAGTAGAGTTTGGGGGAACCCAGACCTAAACTCCCGGGGCCATCTTAGATGACTCCCTGATACCCCCAGTTATTTACCCCATGCCTATGGACCTCTGTGCTTCTCAGAGCCTGCTGTGGTGCCAGCCAACCCCAGAGAGGCCCAAGCAGCTACTTCGGAGGTTGTGGGCTTGCCTCTGACAACTTCCCCTTCTTCAGGGGGAGGGCTGCCCTCCAGGGAGGAGTCACCTGGGACAAGGCAAATGTCACAGTCAGGATGCAGGCACCCTCCTACCTGCCATACTCTCCTGCCTGGGGAGGCCCCTGAAGCAGACAGAGGGAGGGGACTCTCAGGGATCCCCCCTTTGCCCACGAGGAGAGTGCTGAGTGCCAGGAAGACCTCATGATTCCTCTTATTTTGGCCAGGTTGGGGGGGGGGGGACAGAGGTCCAAAGATGGAGTCATTGCCCCCCTCCTTATAGTGAATCAGACCCGCTTGGGGGAGCAGAATGTGGACCCCAAGTCCGGGGAGCAGGCATGCTTGGGGAATCATTCTGAGCCCAGCCTTCCATCTTTCCAGATCCTATGAGTCTCCACTTCTTTCCCACCACCTAAATCTAAATAAATCCAGTCCCTCTTGGCCACATCCGCCAGCAGCAGCTTCCCTCCCTCGGGGTCCCGAGACTCCCACGACACAGGGAGGCCAGCAAGGAGGGCCTCCGTGGCTGCCGGGGAGGGAGGCTTGCACACGGCGAGCATGTGCACACACGCCACAGAGCCCTGCCTACGCGCTCACTCACACGCTGCTCGGAAACACACCCGTGTGCACCGGGCCATGTGTGTGCCCTGCCCCCTCACGCAGGCACTGCACACGTGCGTGCCCACACCAGACCCACGTGCGCACGGCTCCCCGGCGCCCGGCACAGACTGCTGCCTGCGTGCTCTCCCACACGCCCAGGGGCGGGGCGCACGCGGGCCACACAGCCCATGTGTACCCAGCCCCGGCCAAGCTGTGCACGTGCAGGATGCTGTGTGCACACAGGCCCCAGCACAGCCAAACACCCAGCCACGACACCCAACAAGCCCGTGCTCCTCAGCCAACTCGCTGAGGTAGAGACCAGGCTCAGGCCTGTTCTAGATGGGGAAATTGAGGCAGCGAGCACTTAGGGAACTTGCCTAGGAATGCAGAGCAGAGACTGAACCTCTGCAGAGTGCTCTGTACCAGCCCGTGCCACCGCCTTCTGTGTCTGGGCTGGGGACAGGGCGGTGGGGACCAGCAGAGACAGACGGCATCGAGATTGGTTTAGCTGAGAGGTGACAGGACTTGGTGATAGATGCTGGGGAAGGGGGGGCTGGAGTGAGGGGCAGCTTGCGCGAGCTCCCACTCCTGATTCTGACTTGGAATACTGGGTGGGGGGGCAGGAGTGTGTGTGTGTGTGTGTTAGGGACACAGTGTCATTTTCTGAGATGAGAATGAGGCAAAGGGGCGGGATTGAGAGCTGCCACGGAGCTGCTTTAGGGTTTGGAGAGGCTGTGGGCACCTGAGTGGACAGAGGAACCCTCCGTCTTGAGGCAGGGAATGGGCAGAAATAGCAGTGAGGTGGGGAGGGAGGAAGCCCTGCTGCAGGGAGGAGGTGGGTGTTGGGGCAGGCAGTCTCGGGCCAGGGATGCTCTGAATAAACAAGATGCCAGAGGGAGGAGGAGGCCTTGCCACAGAGTCACGGGGTTAGAGTCATGAAATATCAGAGCTCCACAGCCCTCAGGGATCATCTATCCAATCCAACCCTCTTCCTGTGCCCATTGTACAGGTGGGGAAACTGAGGCTTAGAGAAAAACAGGGACAGGTGCCAGTGTTTTGACCTAAGCAAGCCAGCCTCAGGTAGGTGGCCAATGGGGCGCTGAAGCTCACCTGACTGGGCTGCCCTGGCTCCAGCCCCAGCTCCGATGAGGCTGGTGGCTCAAGACCCAGGGTTCAGACTACATCCACTGCCCACTCTGTTTCCACAGAACACCCCCTGCCCTGCCGCACAGAGACCTCTATGTCAAAGTCACTTTCCCTGTACTATCCCACCCAGCAGGGAATGGGGACTGAGCTTCAGAGGTGGCTCACTAAGTTGCGGGTGGAAGTGGGAAACTGCTGGCAGCCTCATCCTCTCTTCCGTACACCCCTCGCCACTCTGCGACCCCGGGGACAAACCGGGGCGGACCCCTGACTGGGAACAAGGGGCTGTGGGTTCTAGCCCCAGCTCCGTCACCCACCTATCGTGCCATCGTGCCCCGTGCTGAGCCTTGGTCTTCCCATCTGTACACAGGGTGGGCAGGGCCGTCCTGGGTGCACTTCCAGGGCTGCCATGCTGTGGCTCTCAGGACCCTGCTCGGGAAGGCAGCTGGGCACAGTTGGAATGCTGGGGTGGGGGTGGGGTGCCGGGGAGGGGCCCTGGTCTGGATGTCATGACTCAGCTCAGAGAAGGCAGCCAGCCTTAGGCCTGGGAGTGTGTGGGGGCAAGAGGCATCTGGCGGCAGGGACTGAGTCCTCCCGGCAGCAGCTGGGGGAGCACGTGAGTGAGGGCCGCACAGGCTGGACCTGGCAGAGGAGGGCCCGCATGGCCTTGCTCCAAGTGGGCTGAGACGTAGGTGCGCTCTTGCAGCCTGGGTGGGGGAACTTCACCCCAGGAGCCAGGGAGGACTGCAGGGTCCATTGGGTAAGGAGACAGTGGGGGGTAGAAGCCTGGGAAGGGGCTGAGGCTGTGGGGCTCCCACCTGCCACCCTCAATCCTAAGCTCCGCTCCTATCTGTTGGTGAAGGCTCAATTCTCCACCTCTACACAGTGAATCTCCCCACAAGCCTGAGGATCCCATTAAGGCCAGAGAGAGAGCAACCTGGCCCAAATCACACAGCAATGCTGCTTGGTCATCCAGGCCTCACTCTGCCATGCTGCTCTCGACCCAGAGGACCTTCAGGTTTCCGGGTACCTATGAGGTCCCCCAAACAAAGCAGCAGAAAGCAACTAAGTTGGGGCCTGGCATGGGCTCTAGACGTTCTGGAAGTCCGAGTGGGTGGAATAAGAGTGTCAGTTCCACAGGCTGGCATTGGGATCCCCCTACCCCTGCCCCCTCCAGCACAAGCTTGGTCCCCTCCGGCTGTCCTGCTGCACCGCCCCGCCTTCTGTCTCGCCATCCGCAGTCTGTCCCCTCCGGCCTGTTCTCACACCACAACCAGAGGAACCTTTCTGAAATACCTATCTGACCACGTTCTTCCCTGGCACCTCTGCAGCTCCCCATCGCCCCTAGGAATGGGCTGGCTTCTTAGCTCAGCCTTGAAGAAACTAGGGGCCGCGGTCCTGCCGACAGCTCATCATGACTGAGGAAGGGAGGTCGCTGCCCTTCCAGCTCCCCAGGGCCCAAGTGAGGCCCCCACACTCGTCACTCACTCTGTGTTTCTCTCCCCGGGAGGCCTCCCCAGGGACACAATGGAAAGAAATGACCTATTTTCTGGAAGTTCAAAATAAAACGAAACATCTGTCTGGATCCAAGCCAGGCTGATAAAGAACGGACTGATTCGCCCCAGCCTGAGCGCCCCCCCTCCTGCCACACACCCCCTCACCCGCCAGAGTGTGTGCGCTTGGGGGTGGGGGATAACGCAGGCCCGGGGACTTGGAACAGCTCGTGGGAAAGCACTCAGTGTGTGCTTCACGGCCACTGGGGGCCCAGGGGAGGGGGCCTGGGTCCCCACACAGGCTGGGAACCGTCCTGAGAAGGAGGTCAGTGAGGGAGGGAGGCCCGCCACGTGCTCTTGTCCCCCCCACCCCCCTGCTGAGCAGACGCTTCCTGCCTTCTCTGGCGCCTCACTGGCCTCCCTGTTCGTCCCCCATGGCTGCCCACCTCCACCCCCAGGACTCTGCGCAGGCCCCGTGGATCCCTGGACCGGAGTCCTCTGGATCCCATCTGGACCCCCTGGAGCCCCTGCAAGATGGAACAAGGAGCTAGCAGTCCTTGAAAACAACAGGGATAACAATAGCTCTCTCTGATTTAGTTTGTGCCACCCAATACCTGGGCTAATGACCTCAGACCCACCCACGACCTCTGGGTCGCTTCTCCCTTTCACAAATGAGGAAAGCAAGGCACAGAGTGGTTAAATCATTTGCCTGTGGTCACGGAGCTTGCCAGTGGCCGAGTTAGTGCGCAGTCCTGGGCCGACTGACCCCAGAGCGCGCTGGCTCCACGCCCACGTCACCGCCTCCCTAAGGCAGGAGGTAAAGAGGACAAAACCACGCCTGGCACAGGGCACAGGCTCAATCCGTGAGCCACGCCCGCCTGTCCTTTCCCCTCTGCTTTCTGACCTCGCCTGTCAGTCCACGCTCTCCTCGGAGTGGGGTGAGGCTGAAGCTGAAGAACAAGGCGGGAGCCACACCACCTTTCACAGAGCCCTACGACCTTGGGGCTGGGACGGGCCCCAAATACTCCCTACTCGTGTCTCTCCCTCCCTCTTTGCAAACCAAGGGGTTGTCCCGTCCACGGTCGCACACCTCCCATGGCCAGGGTCTCACCACCCCATCCGTCACCCAGTCCGTCCTTGGACGGCTCAGGATCCTCAGAGGTCAGGCTATTCAAAAACGTTCATTACACTGGGGATTTTGTTTTGTCCTCACAAGAGTCCTGTGACAATCGTTATTTCCCTTTCACGAGGAGGAAACTGAGTCTCAGAGAGGTCTGGTAACTTGCCCAAGGTGACACAGCCAGTAAGCCATGAAGCTGGGATGCAAACTCAGGCTAGCCTGACTCCAAACCTGTCTTCTTAACCGTCACGATAGACTGCCTGTCTCCCGCCCAGAAACAGGTCTGTCCACAGGGCAACAGGACTACATGAGTTTACCCTAATGGGGTCCATACAGAATCCAGGCTCTCAAAGACCGAAGGATCCTGAGGTCAGAGTCCTAGCCTTCCCTTGCTGACGTGCACAGTGAGCAAGGGGCCTGCCCCAGCTCACCCAATAATTTGAATGTCAAGCTAGGGATAGAGCTCAGATCCTCTCTGCAACTTCACTGCCCAGTCTGAGCGTGAGCACATGGTGGAGGGGATGAATGTCCTTGCTGAGGACAGCCTGGGTCTGGCGGGGCCGTGCCCCAGCAGTAAATGACCTGCCCTGAGGCCTGTCCCGAGGGCCTTGGAGATGGAGCACGAGATGGAGCCTGCAGGCAGTCAGACTAGGTGTGTGGCTGGCTCTGCCACAGGCCCGCTGTGCTTGGGGGCCAGGCCTGCCCCTGCTGGGGCCCCAGCACCTCGGCAGCTGCAGAGTTCCGGGCCTCCACCATCCCTCGCTGCCCCCCAGAGCCTCATCTCCGGCCGGTGCCATGGCAACGGAGAGCCCAGGTCCTGGCAGCCAAAGGAGCCCCTGAGAGGGGTCCCAGGCTGAGGCTGGGGAGGGAGGTGCAGCAGACGCAGACAAGCAAACCTTCTGTTCCCCGGGCTGCTGCCAGCCCGGGATCAGCCCTGGGCCAGGGTGGGGGCCGCAAATAGAATGGGTTCTCAGAGCCAAGTGGGCAGGGGGCAGGCAGGCCTCAGGCCATTTGTCCTGACCCACCAGCACGTGGCCTGCCCCCACCAGCCCTGAGCCGAGGACCGCAGGCGGGCAGAGCGAGCTGGCTAACGAGAAACCCTGCCATTAATTGGAGCCAACGCAGAGCATTGAGATTCCCCTCAGAGCCCTTGGGGTGGCAGAGCCAGAGGGGAGAAAACTCCCACATTTCACTTCCCTCTCCCTTTCTCAGCGTCTGTCTCTCGCTCCTGTTTCCAGTCCTGTACCCCAATTCTCCCACGGACCGTTACTCCACTTCTCTGGGCCTCAGCGTTCCCATCTGGAAGTCGGGGCTCATCACTGAGCTGGGGAGGCCACTGAATGAGTTCATACAAGTAAAATGCTTAGAACAGGGCCTGGCACACAGCCCTGTGCCAAGTCAGTGGCCTCGTTCTTCTTCCTGAGCTCACGGGAGAGTAAGTCACTCGCTTGCTCGCCCGGCCAGTGAGTGCACAGCCCAGGCCCCCTGGCCAGGCTTGTCAGCAAAGGGATGCCTGTGATAAATGAGATGGTGGGAAAGCCGCCTCCAGAAGGACTCCTTAGGAAGGGGTAGCTGCATGTTATTGGTACTGCCAGCAGGCTCAGCTGGTGGGGTGTGGGGTGTGCCCCTAGCATAGTCAGGGATTTAAAGGCAGACCCCTGTCTGCCAACCACTTCCTTCCTGTACGTTTGCCTTAGTCCTTTCACTAGATTCCCCACAAATGAGGAAACACACCTAACCATTTTTTCGGATGCCTCCAAATTCCTAATATGGAAGTAGGCTTACAGTAGATGCTTACTAGAGGCTTACACACCATAAGGGATCAAATAGCCTTGTAGGGTCAGCCCTTCTGGTCTCCAGGCCTGGGGCCTCAGCTGTCCCCTAATACCTCGGGGTTCACTAGGCTGGGGAGCTGGCATGGGCAGGCGATGGTGACTCCCTCCAGGATGGTGATGGGATGGGCGAGGTTAGAGGACAAGAGGGGACCCTGATGCCAGCAAACTGTGCCTGGTGCCACCCAGGGCACCAAAAGCACATGGGAGCCCCACCAGAGTAGGGGCAGCAGTCCCGCTCTGAAGCCACTTAATCCAGGTCCAAGGTAAGTAAGTGCCAGCTCTCCTACCTCGTCACTGTGTGAGCTCTCTGACTTTAACTTCCCAAGTCCCAGTTGCCGGGAAAACGACACAAGAGACTTCCTTTTCCATTGCTGTGAGGGGTCGCGATGATGATGAAAAGCACCTGTCATGTAATAGGTGCTCAGTAAATGGCAAGTGTCATGAATATGGGATTCTTCCAGTTGGGAGGGGGCGGCCTCCAGCTCGGCCTCCAGCTCAGCCTCCAGGGTTTAGTTGGGTTCTTTGGGGGATGATGCCAGGGAAGGGTATCCCACGGTGGTTCTGTGTGGGAAGTGGGAGAGCTCAGGGCATCAGGGAAAACAGCAGGGGGAGAATTCTGACGTCAGAAATCAGGGCTCTTTAGCAAAGAGGTAGGGAAGGGCTCACGTCTGACACAGGGAAGGAAGGCAGAGGTCACTTTGGGAAAGGCTTGGGGTCCTTGGTGAGGATTTAGGCTTTGCCCCGGAGGCACCAGGAAGCCAACTGTCCAGCCAGCCAGCAGTGTGTTTCTCCATCTCTCCCCTGCATTATTTATCACTATGACACTATCCATTCAGCAGACAGACTGCAGTGAGGGAACTCATAAGGGTACAAATACAGGTAGGAGGGGGGTAGTACACAGTCAACTGCATCAGACGTGAGCCTTTGCCTTCAAGCCCCGTGCCCCGAGCCACGGCTGTGACAGGTTTGTAAAGCTGAGCCCTGCCCTATGGACTGACCCTGGAATCCCCCCCCCCCATACCCAACTGACGTTCAGCTTCAGGGGTGGAGACTCTGACCCACCAGGTGGTTCTCCTTCCCAGAAAGGAAGGCTACTGAGGCGGCAATGAGGATCTGAAACAGCCACGGAAGCCTGGCAGGGGCTAAGGGCAAAGCGGGATGGAACATCTGGGGTCACTGAGCTGCCCCCTTGGCCTCTCCCTCACTTATATATATGGCCACAATGGAGAAGTGACATGGGGAGAGCTGTGGATCCACAAAACTACCCCGGGGGGTTCTCACCCCTCATGGAAATGGCATTTCCTCTTCAGCCCGAACTCTGCCCTGTGACCTCAGCCCAGGGAGAACTGGGGATGAGGGAGCCTCAGATGGCAGAGGAGGATAGTGAGGACACAGCACGTGCGTGGCTGGGTCCCAGGCTCGGGGCTACCACTGACCATCTGCACAACTGGACCTCTCTCCTGGAGCAGCCCTTCTCTGGACCTCAGTTTCCTACCTGTACAAGAAGGAAGTTGAACCAGGTGACCCCCAGAGGCCTTTTCATCTCTGACCTTCAAGGACTGACTCCCTGGCCCTGCTGCCCCCACCTCCCAAGGGACGATCATTCCCATCACAGGGTGGAGAAGATGGTACCTCTGGCAGATGAAAGGTTTCGGGCACCTGAGACATCAAATAGCCCTGATCTGAAGCGAGGAGAAGAGAAGGTATTAATGCAGCTAAAGCAATATACTTTGATTTTCAGCCTCCTGCGCTAGGCTGGGGGCAAGGTGCCCCAGAAAGCATCTGGAAGGCGGTGGTCCCTGGGGCTTCAGGAAGCCCTTTTGCCTGAAACTCTGGGTCTGAAGTCTTGGGAGGGTCTTATGGTGGCTCCTACACTGGAAGCAACAAGTGTGTAAATTCCACACCCTCTCCCACCCGGACTCTGCATCGATTCTCTCACCTCTGGACCACATCATTCGTCCATGTACCATTGGGCCAAAGCTCTTCTTCCTCTTGAAATCAGAGCATAAGAGATTTGAAAAATTGGCATTGGAAGGGGCCTAAAGGCTCACAGCATCCACACATACACACCCCAACAGGCAAATTTTCCTACCCTCCTTCCTCTGTACCCCAGGAAAATGGGCACATGGGCTCTGCAGGAACATGTCCTCGGAGCTCCCCAAGAAACTGAGTGCATTAACGAATGGGCTGTTCTAACTGTAGAAAGTTTCTCCTCTTTATTGCAGGTTACAGTTTTCCATTAGCGATCATCGATCCTGACCTCTTTCTGTAACCGGTAAAGAAAGGGTAAGAAAAAATCCTTTCATTGTGAAGTTAAATATGCATGATGCCTGAGTACACAACAGGGCTTGTGTGGCTGCCAATCTGGGCTGGCGGGGCTTGGAATCCTGGAATTGTTTTAGGCCTGGAAGGAGCTCAGAGATCATCTTGTTCAACCTCCTGGTCTTACTGATGGTAAAACTGAGGCCCAGAGAAGGACTGACTCAGCCAGTCACAACAGGATGGGTTCCAGGGTCTGACGACCACCTCTGGAACTCTGAGGGGATCCCACAGCTGAGGCACATTCTCAGAGTTAATGCTGGATGCCCAGAGGTGGCCCTTGCCCTACCCAGCCTCTTGTCTAGGGCTCTGGAGTCACAAACACCCGGATGCAAACCCCAGCTCTACCACTTCCTAGCTGTGGGACCTTGGGCGACTGACTTAACCTCTCTGGGCATCTCCTCATCTGTAAAACAGAGAGAGTTTATATCTGCTCTTGGAGGTTGCTGTGATGATTATATTAGTTTGACAAATATTTATTAAGCACTTTCTGAGTGCCAGGCCTATTCAAAGCCCCAAGGAACACAGCAGTGAACTTCACAGTAATGGAATGGGAGGCACAACGAAAGCACTCAGGGATGGCTGGCCCCTGTCATCTCACCCTGCCCACACTGCTTCCCAGCTGAGGGGCTATGAACTCTGCCTTGGGGAGGCCCCCAGGAAGGCCTATGGAAAACAATGGAGGAAGATCTCCCGGCATTCCGAGGGCCCACTGCCTGCAGGGTTCTGAAACATGTACAAGGAAGTAAGGTGGGCACCGAGGGCATTTCAGGGCAGTCTAGGGACCCTCTCCTTTCTTCCTCCCTCCCCACCACACTCAGCAGCCCATCCTGAGCTAAACACCAACTCCCCTCCTCCGGGCCAGAAGGCAGCTGGTCTCAGAGCCAGACCGTGCCTGGAAGGTGGAAGTGGGACTTTAGAATACCCGTGGTGTCCCAGTCCCTTCAGTGGGCATAGCCCTTTGTGGATCCCAGACTAATTTCACTGCTGAGTCCTGTGCGGGAGGAAGGGAGTACAGCCCGCTCCTAGCCAATGACCATGAGGTCCAGCCCTGAGAGAGCCCAGCAGGAACTGCCAAGCACCCTACCTATGTTATACTCACAGAGCCTACATGCCCCCCGAAGCTGCTCCGAGACTGATGCCAAGAGTGACAGAGCACCAGCCCAGGGTCACACAGCCAGCCAGGAGCCAACTAGGGGTTAATGCACAGTCCTCTGATGCCCAAACCTGATGTGGTTTACCCATGGTACCCACTGCCTTCCAAATGTGGATGCTGCCCAGAAAAAGGATATGGGGACCCGAGGTTGGCCACACAGTGGACTTGAGTTGAGCCAGGGCAAACGCCCGGTCTCAACTGAATCCACGGTGTTTTCCGCTGTCCCACATCTGTGGGCAATTACAAGCCTCAGTTTTTCTTCCCACACAGGAGGGAGGGCTGCCTGATCACCACTGAAGGGAAGGTGCTGGCCAGATGGCCTCCTTCCTCACTCAGGACCAGGCTAGGCTCTGGGGGGACCTGGGAGCAGGTGGGACGTGACGCTGAACTTACTGCTGCGGAAGGGGCTGGAGCCAGCAACAGCCTCTGGGGGAGGATGGAGACTCTCTCCTTTCTGACCTGGGGCTCCCTGGGTAGCAAGGGGTTATTAAGTCTTTGGTTTCAAGCAGACCTGGGCCTAAGGACCAACTATAACTGTGTAACACTGGGAAAGTCGCATAGCCTCTCTGAATCTTGGTTTTTCCTTGTCTTCAAAACAGGGGTAACAACAATACGGATTCCCAAGAGCTGCCGTGGGGATTACAAGGCGCGTGGGGTCCCGGGCTCTGCACCTGGCACAGGGCAAACACTCCGCAGTAGTGACCAATGTGGCCCTCCATCCCCGAGCCCTGTGGACCCAGAGCCTCTTGCTCGGAGGCAGGGGAGGACTGCCTGCCTTCAGATATCTGGTGAGAGGCCTCTGTAGAGCACTCTGGGATTGCAGAGACAGGCAGGGACACTCCTCCCTGTTTGACATAGAAAAATGCAGTCTGGAGGAACAGCGTGATGTTCTGGAAGGGCACCTGAGGGAAGGGAGGGGCCTGTTCACATTTGGGAACAGAAAGTCTTCAGTGAGCCCCTCCTACCTTTCACAAGCACATTTGCTCAGTTTCACTGCCCCCCTGCGCATGCTGGGGACAGAAGACAAGATGGGGTAACCTGGGGCCCAAATGATCTCTGATTGTGCACACAGAGCACAAAGAGGAAGAGAAGCCCAAGCAACCAGGCAAAGGGCATTGCAAGCACTTGGAATACTGGAAGAACCCCGGAAGGCTGCCTGGTGGAGGTGAAGTCGGGAAGGTCCTTGAAGGAAAATGGAGGCAATGAGGAAGGACGTTCTCACAGGCAGCATTGTGCATACTCCTCCTGGGAGCCCTGGGACCTGACCAGCAGGAACACAAGGCCCAAGTCTGGAGAAACGGGGCAGGGAGCTTATCATCTCCCAAAATGGGGCAGGGAGCTTATTATCTCCCCGAGCTCTGCAACTTAACTAGCACCGTGAAACAGTTTTGTAGCTGCCGTGAACCTCACGTGTAAAACCGACATAAAATCTGTCCCTGCCTTGGAGCTGCTGGTGAGTTAGTTACGTGAGATCAGGCCCATAAAGCACTCCGCACGGTCCTGACATGCAGTAAGTGTCAATCAGTGGCAGGCTACTATTAGGAGTTGGGGCTTTCTATAGGGGAGAATCAAAGAAGGAATCGTGATCAGATTCATGTTTTAGGATGGAAAGCAGCGTCCGGAAGGAGGGAGGCAGCAAGGCAGCCTGAGCAGCTGCCTGGGTCCAGAGGGAACGGCCCAGGCAACCGACTCTCCCTTCTTCACAGAGGGGCCCCCCACATCTGATGGCCGGTCCCAGGCCCCCAGCCCCACAGCCCCAGCTGCGTGACCATGATCGCTGGGCTAGGCCTGCCACAGCCCCCTTGCCTTCGCGCTTTCCCAGCCACTGGGGGTTTGGAAGGACATCTTAGGAATCTGGAAAATTTGCAAATCCATTTAAGTCCCCAGAGGTTGCCTGGCGGCCGACTGGCCTAGAGCCAGACAGATTCTTAAGGATAAGGCTTGAGCCCAGAGACAGGGGCCATGGTTCTGAGGTCCCCTATCCCCTGCTAGATCCCCTTTCCATGGACCCTCCTTGCTGCCTCCCAACTCCCCTCTCAAGCTTCTTCCAGCTCTCCCCGGCCCCCTCAGGCGGTGCTATGTTTTAGAGGCCCTCAGTCTGCACCCAAAAATGTCTGAGGTTCATTTGATGAAAGCAGGGGGCAGCAGGGCTGTGGAGACCGGGGCCACCCACCCTAGAAGCAGCCTGAGCAGGAGAGGAGAGAACTGGCTCCTCCAGCCCTGATGTCGCCCACAGCCTCCCAGCCTCCTCCCATCTGGTTTTGTTAAAAATATTTTTCATTTTTTGACCTACCCAAGAAGGCACAGACTGGAAGGGGACAGGACAAGGGGCTGGGGATCCCCCTTCTCCCAGCACTTACCTTGATGCTGGTGCCTTAGGGTGTGGGCACAGTCCTGAGCTCTGGGCTCTCACCCCCTCCAGGAAGTCCTCCTCACTGACCTCTCATTAACAAGAAGACTTTGCTGGACCCCAAATGGGGCAGCGGCTGGGCAGAAGGGCAGGGAGGACAGCTGCCGTCTCCAGGAGCCTCGGGAGAATGGAGGGAGTGGGGGACTGCAGGGGTGAGGAGTGGCCTCACTCCCAAAGCATCCTTCTGGAGGAGCCGGGCTGCCAGGAGGGGCCGCCCTGGGTCTGGCCGGCTGTGGTGCCGGGCACAGGCTGCTGCCCGGCGCCGCTGGTCAGAGGGGCCGGTTCTCTCCTTGCTGTCCTCCTCCTCTCTGCCTCCAACTTGTTCCCAGAGGGATCCTGGGTCCCAGACGGGATGGGCAGGGACTGCGGGCGCTGGCAGCCCCACGAGCTCACACCACTGTGGGCTTCCCTGCCCCCCCCCTTTGGGGGAAAGGCTGCAGGGCCGCCTCTGATTGGCTCAGCCGGGAGAAGGGGGGCGAGGGGGCGGGGAAGGTGGACGCGTGTGTCTGTTTTCAATTTCAGTTTCTTCCCCCCTCTCTTTCTTTTCCCCCAAGTTTCTTGTTTTTCTTCCTTTTTTCCCCTCTGCTTGCTCCCTCCGTCGCCTGCTTTCTCAGGATGTGAGGGGATATTTAGAAATTCCGCAGCCCACGCCAACCGCTGAGTCACTTTTATTAAAAAGTGGCCTGACCCCACCTCCCTGATGCCTTGCCGTGGCACCTGGGGCGGACTCCCTTCTCCATGCCTCAGTTTCCCCATCTATAAAGGCAGCTCTGATCACCAATGTGATTGATTCAGTCAACAGCCATTTATTGAACAAGCATATTGAGCACCTACTATGTGCTAGTCACTGCGCGGGGTGTTGGGATGCGGTAGTGAGTAAGACACAGTCCCTGACTCCAGGGCTGCCCAGGCTAGTGGGAGGGACAACGATGCACAGGCAGGTCCCCAAAGAAGGGCAGGGGTGCTGAGAATGCCTTTAACTGACACTTTTTGGCATCAAGTCACTTTTCAGAAGAAGAAACCCAAGGCGCGGGCGTGGGTTGGCACAGAGAGAGGAGACCTGCCCGATGTCACCCAGTGTACTTCAGATTTCCAAACATATTCCTTCCTATCATCTCACAGCCCTTCGAGTATCAGGAAAGGATTATTTCCCCATTTCATAGACAATGAAACAGAAGCCCAGAGGAGTGAACTGAGCCTCCCAAGCTCACACGGCAAGGGCAGAACTGGCGCGGATGGGGTCTCCTGAGTTACATGATGGAGCAGACACAGGTGATCTGACCCCAGCGGGAGCCCCACATTGCAGAGCAGACTGGGCCTCCTGTCCTGCCTTCTTCCTTCTTCCTGCTAATGTTCCATTGCCAGCCTCTTGCCCTCCCTTCCCTACTAAGGTCTGTCAAGGCTCCTCCAAAACCTGGTTGGACCTCTCGTGCCTTCCACTTAGTCCGCCCTCATTTCCTCAGACCAGAAGACGCCTCTAGTCACAGACTCTTGGCCCTTAGATGCCCAAGGCCATCATTTTAAAAGGGTTTAGAGAGTTGAGGTGAGTCACCTCTGCCCTGACACTGTATGCACATGGAAACTTGAGTCCCAGAGAGGGAAAGAAAGGTGTCCCAGGTCACACAGGTAGACCCTGACTCTGCCCAGGGCTCCTTCTGTCTTACCTGCTGCACCTCTGTCTACCCCCTTCTTCTCCTGGGCCTCACCTTGGGGCCCTGTTCACATGGCAGCAGTGTTCGCCTGAGCTGGGATTTTATGCCAACCACAATAGCATATCTTGAGGTCATTTCTTGGTCTTATCTGAGTGGGGATTTCTCAGCAGAGCATCTGGGCTGGGCCACACAGAAGGAAGAGTCCTCGGACTGGCCCTAAGCCATGGCGTGCAGGCTCTTTGATTATCAGTCAATTATCAGAGAGGGGTCCCAGCCCAGTGTGGTAGCAGTGGAGTCATAGGGGATTACAGGGGGACTCCAAAGACCGCAGGGTCAAGCCTACACTGGAATTTCTTATGCCTGAAGGCTCCATGAGTCTTTGCAACTCCTAGCATTTGTCTTGGCTATTCACCTCCAAAGCCTTGACCCAACTGCTAGGACCAGAACAGTTCCAGGGGTGGTGGGGGGTGGGGGATCAAGGAGGCATTTCAACCTCTAACTGCCCCCCCCCAAAACAAATCTGGGAGTGAGGAGATCCAGCTGTAGAGTTGCTGTGATGTCTTGGATAGATACCTTCGCCTCAGTTTCCCATCTGTACATAACAGGGTTGAACTCACTGTGCTGGAAGGCCCTTGGGATGCTCTGTTTACAAGTGTCTTAGAATTGGGCTCTGGTTAGGGAGAGGAGGCTAGTGGGCCCCAGGGCAAGGGGACAGCTGGGGGCCAGAGATGCAGCACAAAGGGGAGGGGGTGGCTGGTGGTGGCTCCCCCGGGAAGCTGGCGGCGGCTGGTTTCCGGCCAGCCCAGCCGACCGGCTGGCCCATCTGGAATCACTTAGCCCCTACCACCATTAACCCTTGGCAGGCACCAGGACTATGCTATGCCTCCTCTCAGCTGAGATGGGGCTGGGGGACGCAGAGCCACATGGAACACCACAGGGCACGCATCAAGAGCTAGACAGAAGAGGCAGAGGAGTCATGATGGACAGGGCAGATTCCAGAGCCAGAGACAGAGCTGGGTTCGAATCCAGATTCTGCAATGCCAAGCTGCATGATCTTGGGCAAGTCATTGAAACTCCTGAGCCTCAATTTCTTCCTCTGGCAAATGGAGCTAATTTGAGGAATGATTTGAAAGACCATTGCAATTTGTAATGCACCTAGAGGACTCAGTACAGTGTCTGGAGGTATTATTGAAATATGGAGTTGCCCTCATTCCAGCTGCAGCCCATCGTTGTGTGCCCCTGAGCTGAGCTCTTCCTTCTCTGGGCCTCAGTTTCCCCTGTGCACAGAGGGCAGTACCCACGAGCAGTGTAGTACTGTCAAGCTGGGGGGGATCATCACGGCCCCCAGCCCCACCATGGACAGGGCAGGCCATGAATAGCCTCCCAGTTTGCCCAGATGCTGGCAGCCCGGTCCAGCCTGGGACAACGCTGACTTGGAAAAGCTGGGCTGACAGTGGGTGAACAGAGCATCCTGCCTCAGGTGGAGTGAGTGGGGTCCAGAGGGAGAATGGAGCTCTGGGCCTGGGGGTTCAGCGCCCCTTCTCCCCACTGCACAGAGGCCCACTCAAGGATCAAGAGCCTGAGCTCTGACATTGGAAGTTCCAGCCCAGCTCTACCACTTCCTAGCTGCATGGCCTGAACAAATTACACTACCTGAGCTCTCTGAGCCTCAGTGTTTGCAGCTGCAAAGTGGGGATCCATGTGCCTACCTCACAGAGTTGTTGAGAGGCCCACATAAGTGATGCACCCAGCGTTTTAGGCAAGGACTAGAGCAGAGCGAGGAGCCCCAGCAAAGGTAACAATTCTTAGGCGCCTCCGGGAGCCTCTGTCACAGAAGTCCACCATCAGGGCTGCAGGGAAGCCAATCCAAATGCTCATTTTATGGATCAGATGACGGAAGCCCGTGCTGGAAAGTGACTGAGCAAGGCTTCGCAATGTATAAGGCCAGGACGGGAACGGAGGCTTTTTGTCTACACTCAGGCCCAAGAGGGAATCAGGCTGAACTGAACCTGCCCCCCCCAGACCCCCACCCACGCTTGTCAGAGCCGGAAGCCGCAGCTCTCAGTGGTGCAGGGGGAGGGGGGCCCGGAAAGGGCGCCTGAGTGGGAGAATTCCCAGTAGGCCAGCTCAGCACTCACTCAGGCAGGGCCAGCAGCCACCACATCTGGCTCTCCCACGCTCCCAGTGCTGCCCCCCTCCCAGGCTCCCCAGGCCTGGGGCAAGGAAGCAACACACATGTCCCAGGCATCAGCCATCATCTTGGAAGTCAGGGCCTGAAGAGTCCTAAGAGTGCGCCCACAGGACAGGCATGGAAACTGAGGCCCAGAGAGTGGAGAGGACTTGTCCAAAGTTAGCAGAGAGAGAAAAGTCCTGGGATGCAAGGCTCTTGACCTCTAGCGCAGTGTCCTTCCACCCTGCACACCCTGAGCAGGTGGATCCTTGTGCCTGCAGCTGACCTCTAGCAGTGACCTCTAGCGCAGTGTCCTTCCACCCTGCACACCCTGAGCAGGTGGATCCTTGTGCCTGCAGCTAAGGAGCTGGAATAGGCACACTGTGGGAACTGCCCTTTCCCCTCCTGGACACTCAGCATGGTGGCTGTCCGGTGGTGCAGAAGAACCAAGAGGGGACTTTGGGCCACATTCCTGCCCTAGATTTCTAGGACTGCTCTTACTAGGCCAAACTATAGCCAACAAAGCCTACCAGGGTCCCAGGAGATAGGGCTTTGAGACCCTGCCTGCCTTGGCCTCTCCCAGCCTCCCACTGACCTCAGGGTTGGTACCCCAGAATCAAGGGTATGCCCTGGTATGCACAGATGGCTCAGGGATCCTCAGAACAGCAGGGTCCTCAGAGGCCCCATATATCCCCACCACTGGACACGCTGTGTCCCAGAGAAGGCCCAAACCTACATGAAGGCACACAGCAAGTCTGGAATGGGGCCTCTGACTTGCAGGCCATGCTGTGCCTCTTACCATTTATCCATGCAATGGAAATTAATTGAGCACCTACTATGTACCCCACCCTTAAAGAGCTCACAAGTGAACACCAAGGAAAGCACAAATTAATAATATCAAATTGTGATTAGTGTGAAGAGATGAAGAATAATGGTAGGGCAGGTGGGGGCTCTTGTTTAGACAGATGAAGGCTTCTCTGTGGAAGAAATATTTCAACAGAAACCTGAGGCCACACACAACTCAAAGGTGGGAACAGTGTTCTAGGCAGAGGGAACAGCATATGCAAAAACCTGGAGGCCAAAAAGAGCTTGGTGTGTTTGAGCAGAAAGAAAAGAATGGTGAGGCGCAGAGAGGGGACATGAGGGGGAGGGGGTCTAGGTTGGAGAGGAAGCCAGGGGCCAGGCCTCAGGGCCTTGTAGGCCTGAAGGTCAGGAAGGCCCATGCCCAATCTTAAAACAGTGACTGATAAGATCAGGTCTCTGTGGTGCACTGCAGAGGATGGGCTAACAGAGGTGAGGCGGGAGACTAGTATGGAGGCTATCGTAGTCGACCTTGGACTGACTGCCCTCCCCACAGCACTATGTCCTTCCGAGAGGCTGCAGGAATGCACTGGACAGGGTGTTGGGACTTCTGGGCCCCAGTCTGTGCTAGACCACTGACTCATGCAATGACCTTCCTTTCCTTCCCTGGCTCAGCTGTATCTCCTCTGAACAATGGGTCAGACGCAGTGCTCCTTCGGGTGAGGCCACTCTGCCCCTAGGCCTTTGTTCTAGCATCCCTTCTGCACCCTAAGTGGCTGTATACTGGGGGACTGCCTGCCCCACAGGGAGCGGGAGGAGAGCCAGCGAGTCTGTCCAGGGGTCCCGACTGACAGCAGCCGGAGAGCCTTCCAGCAGTACCCTGCAGTGCCAGCAGGTGACGCCCCAGCCTCTGGAGGACGAGAGGAAAGGTGCTGGAGGGGTCCAGCAGGAAAACACACCCC